CTTTCCCTTGAAGGAAATAGCTTGAGATACTTTCAGTATGTTTTATGAACAAATTACTATATCAGGAATGAATGCTTATCATATTATTGCAGAAATGAGATTTGTTTTGATAAACATGATAGCTCCTTTTGCTTATTTTTAGACTGTTCAGCAGACATGATCCCCAAGCTGAAGAGGCTCTAGCAAAGAGGAGGGGGCGAAATAGTCCAAATGGAAACCTTATTAGAATGTTGGTTCTTTTCTTTCTTGAAAGCGAGGTAAAAAATTCATTTTTAACCTTTACAAGTTTAATAAAACCTGGAACTTAAGCAGTGATTTATCAACATACAGTGACAAGTTGTCCTTCTTTTTTCCCCCCCTTCATAACTTCAGAAATATTGTGTGCCCTTTACCCTGCCCCCCTTTCCTTGTCCATCAAGCAAATTCAACTCAAATGTTCTTGATGGTTTATTTTGCTTTTGCATGTCCCCACTGTACTCAGTACTGCACTGCTGGTAGTATCGTGGCTACCAGGATTCCTTGCTACATAGAAATGCAACTGGTTCTTTTTTTAAGATAACCGTGTAAGGAGTATAGCTCTGCAGTTACTCTTTATAGAGTAAAATCATTGGAACCAGAAAGGAACAAAAATCACATAATACCTCAAACTATGATTAGAGTCATAGAGTAATTCAGAGTAGAAAGGACCTGAGGGCCATTAGCTCAAAGCAGAGTCAGCTGTGAGATCAGATGAGGTTTTCAGGGCTTTATGCAGTTGCATCTTGAGAACGTTGGAGGATGGAGACTGCACGCATACGTACAATGACGTGATGTGTTTGATGAACACAGTCAGGAGGGGGTTGTGCCCATAGCTACGTCTATAGAGATAGCACATATGGGAAATTTTATGGTAGACATACTAATAGTAATTTAGGTGGGGAATGGGAGTGGAGGAAAACTTGAGAAGATAAACTATCAGGTACAGGGTGCTCTGAAGATAGACAGGGAAAAGGTTTAGAAATGATACGTTTGATTTGGTAATAAATAGGTGGCAAAGGAAGACTGAAAGAAATGACAGAAATGTGTCTCCACAGAAGGGAGGAAAATAGATTTTGTGTAAAAAGCAAAAGGAAAATTATTGCAATCGAGTATTTTAATTGTTATGAAGCCTTGAACAAGAGTCTTGACTGTGAAAGAAAAACATAAAAAGAAACAGAGTTGCTGAGAAGGAAGGATAACATTTAGGTACAGTGCTAATGTTAATGGTTTTTTAGAAACACCTTATAAACCCTACAAGTTACGTCTGGATGTAATGTCACTACCTGTGTGAGCCTTCAACCTGCTATCTGAATGTATTTTCAGTTCCAACTTCTTAAAAACTTAGGTTGTAATAGATCATTGTATTTTCTGGTGAAAATAGCTTAAATCTGCGGGTATGTGGTTGGGAGTTACCTAGCATTAAGCTTGTCTGTCCTTCTGAGGAGAAAAGAAACTCAGCTCTGCCATGATCAGCAAAGTGCCTTCCCATATGCTGCTCCCCAAGACACCTTCTCTCTCTCAGGGGCAGTTTTTGCTATTGCTGGTTTTGAGAGAGTTGTTAGGAACAGAAGAGTAGAATATTATGACTCCTGTTAGTTTTAATAGTTAGAGAATTGGGATTTTCCATCTGCATAGGACTAGAAGTAAGCACTGCAATCTGAGAGGTTGCATTCAGAAGAGGAACTAGGTAAAGCTGTGACAAGCATCAGTAAGCTCTGTGAGACATTTTGCCCAAAGCTGTCAGAAGAGTAGGTAATCTTCCCGACACTCTTAGGTGTTTTCCAGTTAACAAGCAAAGCAGATCTGCATTTTGTGCTTGTTACTTTTTGATAATGGTTAAAGAACAGTTTACAAAACTGTAGAAGCCTGTGGATTATTTTTCTTACAACAGTTGTGTTAATTCACATTAAAATATTTTTTGCAGTTAAAGTTACTGGTAATTCTATACCCCCTGAAACAGGATTTCTGCTACTGTTTTCTGAGCATGAGGCAGCATGTATGAAAAATAAATGCCTGTTCAAAATGAATATATTACAACCCTCTCTTAGTCTCCTGTCTCACCATCTTTCTTTTTTATAATGCAGTAAGAAAGTGAGGAAAGGTAAGTTTATGGCTTCTACGTCAAAACTCTGAGAAAGATTCCCCTCCCCCCACAAACAAGCTGCTTTATGGAAAAGAAGCTCAATTTGTTTTTATTCCATTTTCCATTAAAACATGGAACTGATGGTTGCTTTGGATTTTCTAGTTGCATGAACATGCAGCCTATTTGGTGGACAGTTTGTGGGAGAGCTCTCAAGAACTGTTGAAAGACTGGGAATGTATGACAGAATTGCTCTTGGAGGAACCAGTCCAAGGAGAAGAAGGTATTTGTTCAACCTCTATACTTCACTGCTGTTGCACAATATCGGTGATTATTCCTTAAAAAGGTGTTTCGCTGTGGATGATAGAGGTATTTATGTTGTGGTTTGTTTAGAAGGCGTATTTGAAGAAGATTTTAGTTTAATCCATTTTGAATGCACTTTGCTTCAAAACCAGCATTTTTGTACTCTATTTTTCATTTTGTGAAGCCTGATGTACTGTGGTTCCCTAGTATTATAGGCTAGGATGACTTCTTGTCTGAATGTTTAAATGACTGGTGTATATACAAACATTTCAATAAATTAAGTAGCTAATACAATTTTTAAGAAACAAGCATTGCAAATGGTGTTAATTAAATATGGGGTTTTTTCCAGACAATGTTAAAAACCTAATGAATTCTCAAGAGGAAAAAAAATAAGGGGATTCTTTTGCCATTAGTTTTGAATCTCCTTTGGCTAATAATCTGTGTGCACGTGGTAGCCAGGGAGGTTGGTGGCAAAGAGTTCCTAACCATAATGAGTGCCATTCAAGATCCTTTATAACCCCCGGCGATTCTCCTGCTTCAAGGACTTTTGCAGGGTTTAGGTGGTTGAAAAACCGATGTACTTAACTGCTTCCTAGTGCAATGTGCTGATCATCTCAGTATTTCAAACTCGGAGCTTTTGGTATCCACCTGCTACAGTTGTAGTATTTATACGGTAATTTCCTAAGGAAATTAGGCACTTTGGTTCTTTGTTTCTGCATAGCCTAGTGGGCTTTGATCCTCTAGGTGTGACCAGAAGTATTTCCCAAAGAACAGAAATAATATTTTGTGATGGGGAGAATATTTTATAAGGAAGTGACAGTGAACAGTCAGTTGCTTTCCTCCATGACGCTCTTTATTTTGTAGATCTTTGTTATATTCCCCTTCATTCATCCTTTTTCCAGACTGCGTTTCTCTGGACTTCTTTCAGTTCTGCTGCAGTATCCATTTTGAGATGATGTGAATGGTAATTCAAAGAGCAAGCAAGAAAGCCTTGGTTTTATAAATGGGACAAAATAACATTTTCTGTGTTGTTCTCTATTCTACAACTGCATTCACAGCTTTGTTGTCTTTAAGATGTCTTGCACACACATCAGAACTGACGTTACTTGTTCTTTTCTCTCCATAGCAATGTCCGACCGGCAGGAGAGTGCTCTTATTGAGTTGATGGTGTGTACAATCAGACAAGCTGCTGAAGCACATCCTCCAGTAGGCAGAGGCACTGGCAAGAGAGTAAGTGGTACTGCAGTAGGTTGCTCGGACCTGTGTGTGTAACTATAGTAACATAAAATATTTGTCTACAGTGCTACATTTTAACACTTTTAAATTATATTTTTATAATCGGTGTTTCCTGTTTCATGTGAACGTTTTTGAAGAAAAATAGTAGAAATTCTATTTCTAGACATGTTTGGGTTTTTGTTTGTTTTGTTATGGATTTTTGCATTGCCAAGTTAAGTAATAGAAATTTACAGCATGATAATATTTTTTTCTGTGATTTTTTTAGACGTTCTTTTTATCGTACCCCTGGCTTACACTTAAAATGTACCCACATATATGGCCCTTAATGTTAAGTCTAGATTAGAATTGTAAGTGCAGAGTTCAGGAGCAGAACAAGATTACCAGTGAGCGTCTTCCATAAAAAGAAGCGTGCTGCTGACATGGACATCAAATTTACGGAAGCTGAGGGTTTGTGCAGTTCCATCTCTGGCAGTTTTCAAGACCTGACTGGACAAAGCCCTGAGCATCCTGGTCTGATCCCTGAGCTGGCTCCGCTTTGAGCGGGAGGAGTGGGCCTGGGACCAACCCGAATACATCTGTGGGTTTATGTATCCATCCTCTTCTGCCTCTTCCACTGAGTGTCCTAAAAATTTAAGAATTTGATGTTCTGGCCATATTGCAATCTAGCTGCCTCCTCATTTATTTTATAGTGACTGTTTGGAGATCAGTGGAATTCCATTCTAAGGCTGGGTATGCACTTTTAAGCATTTCAGTATAAGTCACAAGGTCAGGGTAATCAACAGGCTTTCAGCTGTGTTCTCCGTAAGTACAGCATCCGTGTTCCAAAAGAGTCTCGGCTTCCCAAACATATTTTCTTCATTTTTGGTAGTCCCCCTCTTATTTAGGTTAGACTGAAATGAAATAAACCCATGTGAACATGTGGTGCTTCTGTTAGGTTCTTTTCTGAATAGTTGTAACTAGTTTATTAATGAAAGCCAGAGTTAATGAAGGTGAAATCTAGAGATAGACTTAGCATTCTTTATTGCTGAACTAAATGCAGTTGCTTAGCTTCTTAATTTTCATGTGCCAAACCCAGGCTAGCCTCATGTCCAGAAACAGCATCCCAGGAAAAGGCCCAAGAAATCATCAGTTCAAACGTGCTTTATGTATGTTAATGCATAAAGCATATTCTAAGACATTGCTAATTTATTAAAACGTTTCAGGGGTGGGGGAGGGGGAAATCTATGAAAGCACTTACTCAGGTTTACACAAACACATATCATCCTGTGTTACCGAAACTGTATTGTCAGCACAACTTAACTGTGTTTTGTCTCTAGCTGCAAATAATTCTAGCAGACTTCAAATTTAACAAAAAATTCATGTTTGGAGCACCAAATAATGTCACTGTTAGCTTTCCAAGTATTTTTGTCTATCTCAAGAGATCTACAGTTCAGTTGACTGAAGTTCAGCAAATTGCTTAGTCTTACATTTTCAGTGTCTGTGGTTCTTCAAAGCTAAAGAAAACACTTCAGTAAAATAAATTTCACCTTCTGAAGGATGATCAAAAGACCCTCAAGATCATCCTAGGGACCCAGATTAATCAGTAGCACCACTGAATTAGCAATATTTGGTCACCAGAATATGACTGGGTTGTTAGAGGGTGGGAGCCTGACATGCTGGCTGCATTTGTGTCACCCTCCGATGAGCCAGTGGCTTTTGCAGGCATGGGTGGTGCTGCCCCCCAGGTTGGGGCAGGAATTGCAGTTGCCGCTGTATGTATCCAGCTGCCTGCCGTATACTATGGAAGTGGTTTCTTACCCTGGTTACAAATCTGTTCCTCTTCACTTCCGTGGTTGTTTTGGAGTCCTGCTGAGGCAGTAGGCTACCTGTCATCCCAGCACATGTTTTGTTTCCAGCTGTTCCTCCTCACTTACAGAGAGATGTAGGTATGACATTTAGCTTTTGCTTCTTTTCAGTTAGATCATGAGTTGTGGGATGGTAACTGCAGGGATCTCTGACTTGTCAGTAGAGGTTTGTCATGTTCTCATGATCTCGCTAGCATATTCTCTGAGTTGAAATGGGAGCAGATTTCTAATTATGCACTCACCTTCTTGTGAAATAGTTTCTTCTCTGACTTTAGCTTGTAACCCTTATTGTGCAGTCTGGCAGCTTTGCTATACGTAAATCATTAGCTAACTTGAATATTTTATTACCATTATTTGTTTTTGAAAGAATTCTCTCCTTTTCTGAAGCCAAGAAGCCAGATCTAAGCTTTTATGAAGCATGCTGTTTTGATTATTGTCTCTGTATTCACTGTTTCAAGGTGGTTTTGCTATGACAGCATTAGTAGCTTCAGTACATCTGTCACTGAAATTTGTAAATGAGTTCTGTGAACTTGGAATTATGTTCTCACTGAGAATTACGTTCCAGTTTAGAGATGAGGCCATGAATCTGCTAATGAAAATCACTGTCACAGTGTGGTTTGATTTTGGTTTTCTTAATTATACTTCAGTTCGCCCTGAGGTCTTATATTAACACTTTGTTTAATGTGCAAAAGCCAGAGCTCAATCCGCTTGGAAGCAATAGCAAAACTTCCACTAACTTGGGTTATATTTGAATTTCAATCCTAAAAAAAAATGTTGATGTGTTGAGACAATATCACGCTGGATGATGTGATATCTTCCTTTTCAATCACGGCTTCTTAGGACACATGGTCCTCCCATTTAATCACTCTTCAGTCCAAATATGTTTGAGTTTTTTATTCCCTCCTCTTTTGATCTATTAAAAATACACTTGCATGGATTTTTGTTTGTAATACAAAGTTTAGAAAAATTAATGAATGCTACATGCAGAAATTGTATTTACTTTAGTTACGTTTGATCACTTGCAGGTCTTGACAGCGAAAGAAAGAAAAACTCAGATAGATGACAGGAATAAATTGACTGAGCATTTCATTATTGCACTTCCTATGTTGCTATCCAAGGTACATTTTTCAACAAAACAAACCTCTCGCTGGTATTTACAACTGTCTTTAAACTTCTTCATGCTGTAGTGTGGGTGGGTTTTTTTCACTTCATTATTTTTTTGTTTTGTTTCAATGATGTTCTAGTACTCCGCTGATGCCGAGAAGGTTGCAAATCTCCTACAAATCCCTCAGTATTTTGACCTGGAAATCTATAGCACGGGAAGAATGGAAAAGGTATAGTACCTTGGGCGAGAAGTCTGGTTGCTTTCTGATTACTATTCTAGTCATGCAGTACTGTGCCTTCGTTTGGCATATTATTAACCTAACCTTGATTTGGTGTATTCTTTGAATGACTTTTTCTTTGAGTTTCATTGTTCAGGTAAGGTGAAAGCTGAACTTCTTTTCTGATTTACAGCATCTGGATGCCTTACTGAAACAGATTAAGTTTGTTGTGGAAAAGCATGTGGAATCGGATGTTCTCGAAGCCTGCAGCAAAACCTACAGCATACTCTGTAGTGAAGAATATACAATCCAGAACCGAGTTGACATAGCCCACAGCCAACTTATTGATGAATTTGTGGATCGATTCAACCATTCTGTAGAGGATCTGCTGCAGGAGGTTTGTTTTCTTAAAATGAATTTAGTTAACTACCTAAAATATGCTATGGTAAACTGCAGAAAAACATTCTTACCAAGTCAAGAAATTATCCATCTGAAGACGTAGTGCAGTAGCAACTATTTCATAATTATATAGGGCTGTGTCTCCACGTAGAAGATCCTTTGAACTAGCCATTAAGCCTGCAAAGCATTGATGCTGTAAAACAAAGATCATGGGACAATCCTGCTTCTGAAAATGTAGTCTAGTATTTAAACAGTCCACATAAGAAATTAAATGGATGAATGGGTGAAAGCTGATGAAAAATGCAGAGAAAGGTGCATTTACATTAATGCTTGTGGTGATTCCAGTAGTCCCAAATGGATATGCAGGCAGCAGAATCAAGATTGGATTATGTCTTGAATGGAAGAGAGGATTTAGTAAAATATTTATAATGGCATATTGAAAGAGCTCTGGAAAGAATGAAATAAAGATACAGGTCTGAAACCTGGAGGTACTTGGGATTTACTTGTAAGAATTTATCCTTCAAAATGCATAAGACAGAATACGTTAAATAAGAATGGAAACCTTACTCATTTTTTCTGGCTTTACATCAATTTAACTTTGTGTAGCACTGCTTAATTTGTTGTAATTCTCATGCTTTTCAAACATAACTTCAGGGCTGCATAGATCTTTTTCTTCACTTCTTCTAGTCATGCACCGCACTGTAGCAGATACGTCTAATTTTTTATGTACGTTTACAGAAAGTTAAGCTACAGTCTATTTTAGAATTGCATATGAAAGAAAATAAGCTTTATTCTGTCTTTAAGTGACATGCCACATACAGGCATACTGTATAGACGCTATGTCACATTGCAGAGTAAATAAAGTTTGTCTGTTGCTGTAGGAATGAGTAAAAAAGGCAGTGCATGCAGGAAGCAGGCACTCCAGAACCCAGAGGAGTTAGTGCGCCACTGTACAGTCTTTGATACAATACGTTTACTCTGCTGTCTACCTGTCTGCCATTTTATATGTGCTTTCTCAGAAACTTCTGAGCGGAACCTGAAACGACCTTCCAGAATTTGTGCTACATCTCTGCCCATCTGTGTGTGGCAAGGGAAGGCTGTTAGGCTTTTAGATGATCAAAATGAAATTGAGAAGAATTGTTGGAAGTGGGTTTCCTGTTTCAGAAATTTGCTGGAAGAAATTAAGTTTCAGAAGTACCTTATTTCCACTTGTTTCACTAAGAACATTTGCTGTTCAGTTTGCATAAAATATTACGATAATGATATTTTAAAATACCAGAAAGAAAAAAATAAATGTAAATGAAAAGTTTCCCTACATTAGTAAAATCTAAATTTAAAAAACAAACAAAAAAACCCTCACCCCACCCCAAAGTCAGTCTGTACAGATAACATGATTTTCGTGCATTACAGTGTGTAACGCAGTGAACAGCAATGAAGGACAGGAAAAGAAAGGAATTGTCCCACTGATCATTTTTTAGAAGTTGCTGTTGACATCTGCAGGTTTCTGGCGTGGAGCAAGGCAAGCGCTTGGCTTTATTCTTGTAGGACATTAATCAGGTGATGGTTAAACTGCAGTTCAGTTCTTTTTGTAAAATAAGGTAGAGCTCAGCTTTTATTCTTGGGAATGATTTCTCCTGCTAGAGGATACAAGTTTAAGTATTGACACTGTGATACTGCTGAATATTCTCAGATGATCTTGCTTATTTCCTAGTGCCATGTGGTGGTTATTTAAATATTCTTATTATAGAAGCTAGATAAAAGTCATTAGAAAATTTGGAGTCAGCTTTGGTGTGAACATAAAACCTCAAAGAAATCTGCTCCTCCCCGTGCAGTAATGTACTCTGCTGGATTGCTGAACTCTCTTAATGGATTTCCTTTCATTTTCAGGGAGAAGAAGCTGATGATGATGACATATACAATGTGCTCTCCACATTAAAGAGGTTAACTTCTTTTCACAAGTAGGTGATTTTTTTTTTTCCCCTCAAAAATCTATGTTATCATTTCAGCAAGTATCAGTTGATGTCTAGTGTTAAGAAATGAGAAAATACATGGCCTGAAATACGAAATAGAGATTGAATGATTAGTGGTATTTATCAGTATAACTGTTTGGATTAATCTGGGTCCTTGCTTAGTTAATGCCATCACTTTTACAGATTCGATTTGCAAGTGACGTACCACCCCTTGCACTAAATGCTTTTACACCTACAAGTGTCTTACTGAAAACCACACTCCCCTGCGTGACAGGCAGTCAGTGCACAAGGGACACTTCTTACCTCTGGTACCAGTGGATGCAGGCTAAATCTGGGCTTTGAGCCTCAGCTTAGGAGAGCCCTGGAGGAAGCTGTTTCTCCCAGTTTCTCAATGCGTTTCGGGTATTGTCCTCAAAATTATAGAAATAAGTAGTAGTAATAATAATACTACTACTAATAGTTAATGATGAGAGTCTAGAAGATGTGTTCTCTTTCTGCGGAAATACCAGGAATAGTTTCTAGTTGAATTACTGTGTGGATTGCACAGAAACTCCTTCACTAAGCTCGATACAGCTCATGGAACTAGGCAGCAGCTTTTCAGGGTTCTGCTGCTCTCAGACCTACAGGCACTCATAACTTGTAGGGCAACCCGGAAAATTTCACTTGAAGTATGAATTTTGGAGCACAGCACAAAGTCCTAATTTCTTTTCCTGTCAACTGCAGGAAGGAATTGCTCCCGGTCAGCGTGTAGGAGAGTTTCATATGCAGATGGCTGAGAGCCACAAATCATTTCTTTCTTACCACAAGATGTGAGAGCACCTTGCTTCTGCCACCTCTTTTATACAAACTGGTTTTAGCGATTTCATTTATCTGTTGTTTCTGTGCTTAGTCTTCACTTCTCCTGAATTCTGCACTGGATCATTGTATGAAATGGTTCTCCAATATCTACTCTTTGTTTCCATTCAACAAGAGTCCCACAGAGATCATTAAATCGTTACTAATTTCCGTAGTGCAGCAGGCTGACACATGTGCAAATTAGGTTTTTGGTCTCCCTGGTAACGTGCTGGAGCCACTTCTGCCTTTCCTGAGAGGATTGGTGAAAACTATAGTTTGCATCCAAGAAAGAAGCACAAATCTTAAGGCTTTTCTGAGAGTCTCCCATATGTACTTTTTCCTTTAGGGTTTATTTAAACTATAAAGAAAGCTTTGTAGAATAACACACGCATCAGGGTTGGGGACATCTACCTACACCTTCAATAAAAGAGGAAAGAGAAAAGAATCAAAGCTAAAGAGCTGAAAAGCAGCTGTGTATCATTTCTCAGCTGATTTGTTATTTATGATTATAATTCAATGGGAATTTCTAATTAATATCTGCTTGCATATAAAGAAGTAATGAAATCTTTTCATTACTTTACTGAATGTTACGTCTGATGTGATTTCTTTGTGAAAGGAAACAATCATATCATCTGAGACAGCGTTTTTGCTGAACCTTTAGCTATGAGATTAGGATCTTCAATTCAAAACTCACATTGAGCGTTCTCATCTCAAAGAATGGTGGCTGTTGTCTGATACTGTCATTGTCTATCATCAATTGGGAGCCAAAAGAAATTAAATCAATGGAAGAAGTTGAAATTGCAGGCTAACAACTGATACCTTTCAGATCTTCTGACAGTGGACTGATAAAGTAGTTGCTGAGGCTTCAAAAAGAAACGAGTCTCTCCTTCCAGTGAGAGAAACTCCACCATACCTTATCTGTGCTTGTGTTTCCTTTATAGTTGCTACTCCTTCATATTTTAGGAAAAAGAAGCCCAGCAAGGCGGAAAAAAACATGGTAGGGGATTATCAGAGAAACCTTCCAGGCCAAAAAGCTTCTGTACTGAGGTTTCCCAAGCCTGAGCTAATCCTCTTTCTGAGAGGGTCATGGCAACAAAGGACTCACGGCAAACTTCTAAATTCATGTCTTTCCATCAAACAAGGGTATCACTATTCCAATACAAATTAAATTCATCATTGCAATGTTTCCTTCCAAGTTTTGAGAATATAATAATAACTTCTCTTGAGATCTTCTGAATAACACACCTGGAGTATATACTTGGGCTTCTCTTTTTGCCCAGATCTCACTGATATTTACAGCATTTTTTTCTGTCCTCAAGTCCATGAAGACAATTTTTCTATACTGACTCCAGCCCAATTCAACAGAGCTTTCACACATAACACATCAGTGCTGTAGCAGTTTGTATGCTGCAAAATATCAGCATTTCTTATTTAATTACTTCAGTTAATTCAATGCAAGACACATGAATCTCAGACATCACCCCCATTACTCTGGATGTGCCCTTTTGATGCTGTGTTGCATATAGAACATTGTTTCACATTTAGAAATCATGATTGTTGGTATGACTGTCCAGTAGTCCTCAAATATGATACAGAATTTGATTCCTTCCTGCCTCCACACTGACTTCGTAAGCCTGCAATGACTATAGTAACTCTCCAGATGCGAGTCATGTTGTTATCAGCGTAAGCGTGATCAGTCAGGACGCTTCCAAGATCAGCAGATCTTCTCTTCCTGTTATAGAAACCCTTTGCTTAACCTGACCAGTCCATCCTTCAGACTGAGTTACTCAGAAGTTTGTTATATCCAGAAGAAGTAGAAACAATGATAAGTGAAACCTCAGTCGAGAAATTAGACTGTATCTAGCATAGCCGTTCAAAGCCCGAGGTACAGCTCCTCTCACTTTGTGTTGCTTTAAAAAGAGAAGCAGTTTTGTGGGTGGAGAGATCACCTCTTCTAACAGAAAGTTTGCTAAGCTGCTTCCTTCCACGCTTTCAGAAACGTGGTGGAACTGGTACCTTCACTTCATCTGACTACTGTCTGGCAGAAACAGGCCCCAGCAGACAGTGCTATCTATAGGGATGGAAAGAAACCTTTGGTGAATTGTTGGGCCTTGTTTTCTCTAATCCATGAAGACTCTCTGACATGGGAGGGACTAAGGGAAAATCCTGTGTTCTGTGAATTTTCATTCTAGGAGCCTTTATGTCAGTCTGAAGTTCTATGGAGAATTGTATTGTGTACAAGGTACTTTTATAACTATCGTTTTGATTGCTAAGCAGTTCAAAAGAGATAAATCTGTACCAGAATATGCCCAAATTTAATGTGGAGGTTCTTCTTTAAGGATGTTTATATTGAAAAGCCCTGTGCAACTTGTATCTGGTTAGAATTTTTCAGCTTTGGAAGCAGAAAAGCTCTTCTTGAGATTGGCTGTAAGGCTCAGAGCAAAGAGCCAAGGTGCTGCCAGGTGTCAGGGCAAGGGGGCATGCCCCCTGTGACGGCTGCCTGACATGGAGGGTTCTAAAATGAAAAGACAGAAATGAGACAGGTTGTCTTATCGTATTCTCTGTAGGATAATCTATGCTGATATCTGCCTCTGGACACCGAGGAGATTTTACTGCTTTAATTACAGCACTGTAATTAAGGAGGTACAACTCTGCCTTGCTAGCAACCCTGTGATTTGCTGAAGCAGCATCTATGTGCTTAATATCACTAGTCAGAGGCAGTTCTCTGACAGCCTGTAATTTATATATGAAACATTTTATTTCTGTACTTTGAAGACCATCCAGAATCTAAGGCGAGGGGAATATTTTTATATTTCTGGTTTTTTAAGTTTTCCTATTGTTCTATTCATGGATCTGAATTAGAAGTTAAGGTGCACCTTGGCTCAATGACACAACCCTAGAGTGCGTATTTCACTTGCTCTCAGCACAAGGGAGTTAATTGTTATGTTTTCTGTGAAACTTTTATCAGTGAGGTTTTCCAGGGCTAACACGCTCCAGACTGGGAAGCATTTCATACTAGGGGTTTTCAACAGGATCTAGGCATTCCCAGTCTTGAGTTCAACCTCTGTCCATTTCAGAACCAGAGAATTATTCTTTCTGGCTGAGCAGGGTAGTTGATTATTTAAACAAAGTCAGGCAGCTCCAAAGCAGGGCAGATGCAAAGGGGTGGGAAAAGGAGCATGTCTTGGTGATCAAGGTGTGGGATGAAAGGGAGCCAGATGCAAGAAGACTGCTTTATCTAATGTAGACTTGCCAATTCAGTCTGAGTATCCCTTCTTCAGTGAGTATTTTAATCACCAAGTTTGTGATTATTCTGAGGTGGCTTGCTCTTTTATGAACATACTAGACATTGTTTCAAATTATCTCAGTTTAATTCCACTGCAGAAAAATGTGTTAAACCTAAATTTTTTTTTTGAGAGAGAATTTTTGTCTTTCAGGCAACCTGATGTTTTGTAATTGCTTTTGTATTTCTCAGTTGTATATTAAAAAAAAAGCTAGATCATAAGCTGTTGAGGTCTGTAAGGCTGTAGAATATATGTTGCTAATCTCATCTGAATTCCTCTTGCTGGTGAGTCAGGTTGGTGCAACTGAAATGTGAAACAATGAAGGGGGGGTGGCAACCACCATTTCTGTCTCATAGACATGTAGATCTTGCTGTCTTACTTTAGATATTTCCGGATATTTAATATCTAGTGATAATTATATTATTTTTCTCCAAATGATAATGGCAGAAAAATATGTAACTTTATTTTGCTTAAAGCCATTTTTCATTCAGTATGTATTGCTAGAGTTTGGCTGCAGTTTCTGCTGCAATGCCAGAGAAGTGCCTTCTGGAGTTCTGTCAATGTTTAGAACCCAAGAGGAAAGATGATTTAGAGACAACACTGAGATGGAGCTTGTAGCTACACTTAAGCAACCTTTAAAGATGTGTGGTACGCAGAGAGTTTATTTCCTCCCTACAAAAATCCCACGTAGTAAAACATTTTTCCTGAATTCTCAGAAAGCCAAACTTCTGCTTTTAGCATGGTGTGAACTGCAATCGTGCAGCTGCTTTGTCAGCAGGCTGTATTGTCTCCGTTTTGCAAAAATACCAAACTGCTCACTGAGCTGCCAGGTCAGCCTATAGTCTCGCTGTGATGTGGAGTTTTGAGGAACACAACTAATCTCTCTCTATTACCTCTCGTTCTAGCGCTCATGATCTCACAAAATGGGATCTGTTCAGTAACTGCTACAGATTACTAAGAACTGGAATTGAACATGGAGCTATGCCAGAACAGGTACAGTTAGCAACACCTGCACTGCATCATTTGGGGATTCAAAATTTTAAAGAGTCTAGTCATAGAGAAATTCAAAAGAGGAATGCACCAGAGTTCAGTTATTTAGGAAAAACATGGAGTTTTGAATGAAATTTATATTGTAGGAGGGCACCATCCAGGAGGTGAAAAGTCTTGGGTTCTGTGATTTTTGAGCTACTTGCTTCACCTTTCTCATCTGTAAAGTAAGGAATAACTGATGTTCCTAGCTGTGAAAAGCAATCGTAAATCATGATGTTCACACTGAAACCAAACATTTGTAAACCTTGGCTGCAATGAGAATTATCACAAATTATTATTGTGCATTGAAGGTAAGATGGAAGCTTATGAAAACCAGGAGACAGAAAGAACGTTTAGCAGGGATGCTGGCTGACCTTTCCAGTGGAGTTCTTTTGGTGGACACATCTTGGATTTTGTTTGGTTTTAGTCTTCTCATGGATGAGCACAGGGACCATTTCAGATTCTCCCAGGATTCCAGTTTAAACTGCAGACTGCCTACTCCAGTATTACAGCACATTTTAAGTTACAATTTGATTTCAATTACAAGCTAGTTTTAATTCTAACCCAACTTCATTTAGAAAAAAAAAATCTCATGAAATTCTGTGAAGTATTTTCTAAAAATGACTGAGGGAGGCATTGCCACCCCCCATGTGAAATCATGGCTTTAAGCTGTGGGACCTTCTCTCTCTGCAGTTGCTACTTAATGCTGGAATTGTGCTACCTGGAGGGAAGGGGCCAGCAGGTAAAAATTGTCCATGCAACTACCAGCCATCTTCAGTTTCTAGGTTTGACAATGATATGGCTCCACAAATACTCTTAGGAGTAAGATCTTAGGAAAAAAGTTCTGAAATCTGAACTCTCCTCAGTATTTCTTCCCCCAGTCCACTAGAAGGAGTTCACTGAAAAGGAATGGTTTATTCTTCAGTGATATCTTTCAAAAAAGTATTTTGTGAAGCGATTAGAACTGTTAAACTTGATTTATTCTGCACAGAACCACAAACCATTGCAATCATCTTCAAGCCAAAAAGATTTTGAAATTTTTAGCACCTAATATAGATTTGAAATTTTAAAAAGATACCAGGGGTGCTTTTTATGGGCACCACAAATATGAGCCTAGTCTTCTCCGTGAGAAAATTTGTGTTTTCTCCCTTTACTTAGAAATTGGGCTACATGTTCATTTGACAATAGAACAAATTTCCAGCCTGTTTTACTAGTGAAGTCAGATTTAGAGGTATTTAAACAGATGCTTTTGAACTGAGATTTGTAGATTTTGGGTTGTATTTCTAACATGCTATGATATCACCTCTTGCTGTACTTCAATGCACAGTTTTCTGTTCTATTTCCCAGCATTTATGTAGGGTTTTTTTCCACCTGTAGTAACCTGGTTTCTTATTGCACCAAACTGTCTAAGGAAAAACATAATATCTTTGGGAAAAAAAAAATACTACCTAAGAGCTGCTCCTGTTTCTTCTCCCCAAAGTGCATTATACATTTTACATACACTTCACTGATACGCTTCATATTTCCAATGTGCTGGGATTCTTTGTGTTCCCTCTGTTACAGATAGTTGTTCAGGCACTGCAGTGTTCCCATTACTCTATTCTCTGGCAGCTGGTGAAGATCACTGAAGGCTCCCCTTCCAAAGTAAGTAGGCATTTGATCATACAGATTTTACTGAAGAACTTGCCTAAAAAGGCGTTAGACCCCATTCGCTGTACCTCCACCCACTGTACAGTCATTTTACCTCGTTGTGAAACAGATATATGATGTTGGTGATATTTCAAGATCTGTATAACCTCATGCATATGTCTAAATAAGCTATACAAATAGTGGAAGCTTGTCTTCATCAGGATTTGATACTAGCTGATTTTTATATTTTTATTGCTGAAGATACTTAATGCACTTTGTTGTGAGTACAGCAGTTTGCATGAATAGATAAGTAATGTTGACAATGCTTACCTAATAATTGTAAGCAATGCTGTTGATCTGTACACCACAGATAGCTTAATATTTATGTGTATTTACCTTGCTTGGCTTTTACTTACGTCTGCTATGTTGCTAAATATAAAGGTAAGGTTAGTAGCAGTGACAATTACTAATAATAAGTGCACACAAGTGTAATGCAGTCAGGACAACGTTACGTGTAATTTGTTTGTTATAGTTAGCTTTTCCAGAACCTTTCCTTAGCAGTTTCCTGAGTCAGAGGCCAACATCCTGTCTTTTTAGGGCTTTTTCAAAAGTAATATATCACATTAAAATGGTATGAAAACTGGAGTAGTAAGGGTACTTCCCTATCGGCATCAAAAAGAAAAAGATGCTATACCAAAGTACTACTAAATTAAGCATTTTATGTGCCTAAAAATGATAAAAATACATTGTAAATTCTTTGAGTTGTTTTGAATACTGACATACATTGACATTTTAAAATAGCTACTAAAAAAAAAAAGAGTACTTGGTATTCTTCATTCTGGCTTTTGTTCCCATTTCCCTCTCTCAGCTTCTTTAGCTTCTTTCTTTTTAGCATGCTGGTAGTATATGATATTACATCTTGACTCCTTATAACTGAGAAAACTGAATACATCCCATTTGTTTTAAATGAACTCAGAATCTCATCACAATAAAGCATCTGAAGTACTGCTAGCTAGCGGCATTGTTACCCTGCAGGAGAAATTTCACTTTGACGGAAGGATCCAAGTAACTAACAGTAAACCCAGGAGGCCATACATTGCTTCAGCCCTTAAGTCCATAAAAGCAAGATACTGAAGCTCATTCTAGAGCACCTCATCGACTATCCAAGCCTGGACACTGTCTTCAACACCTTTATTAAATTTTTCCCTGTGTGCTCTTGAGTATTGGGTCTTGCTGGGTGTCTTACCCACTCCTGAAGATGCCCAGCAACTGTGACCTCCCACTTGCTGGGCCCCTTGAGTAGCAATGCCCAGTCTTGCCATGCTCTGGGTGCAAATGCTGAGACACAGAGCGTTCGGTAAGATTCTCATCTCCTTTGACTATGTTTCTCCATTTTTTGGAACTAAATGCAGTGAATTGCTGCAGTATAACATAGATAGTGCAGGGTGATAGCTGTCAGAATTGCGGGAAAAAAAATTCCTGTTTTCTTGTGTCTAAATTCTAGCAAAAGAAACATACTTACCATAAGCTACAGCCAGCGACTCGCATACAGCCTCTGTCTGCGCAGGACCTGGTCAGAAGCTTTTGCATTTTGGTGTCAAAGTATTCAGGGGACTGTTGTTTGCAATATTACAACGATGGTCCAGTTCAACTGAAAAAGAAAAAGACCTTTATTTATTTCAGTGACTGGGTTTTTCTTGCAAACAAGCTTAGTGCAGTTGTATGGCTTTGCCTAGTTTTTCAAAATAGGATACATTTATAGACGTCATATAGACGTTGTTTTATGAGACGAATGTAGAATAGCCTTGATCTTTCATGTATTCCTGATTCTATTCTGACTCATATTAGTCATAATGTTCATAGGAATGGAAAGAACTATGAAAGCTCCATTTTGAATGACCATTTGAAGTACAAGTCAATTCTGTTTCTGGAATCTCCAGTGAAAATCATAATTACTTTAACCTATAGAGCTGTAATTAACTTATTGTTTGGGATTTCACCCCACCCCCTATAAAAATAATGACTGCTCTGCATGCTTGGTTCAGGAGGAGCCCTGCATTAACTCCCTTCAGCTCTCCATGCCTGGCCAGCAACCTCAGCTTTGCTCACAACAGAAATGGGATAGAGAGAAATCCACAAACCTGATGTGGTCGTAGCATTTTGTTCTGTGTGGGTTTTTTCTATCAAACTTTCCATTGTAGTTTGTTCACTGTGAACATAAATCCGATCTGCACTATATCTGTTGTTTAATCCATTAGGAGATCATTTTGCCCATGGTTGTTTTATAAGCCATGACTTAAGCTTATAAATTAGCAGACATTAAAGGGGATCACTTCTATAGTATGATGTATAGGAAGACAAAGCATTAACACAAGCATCTCAAAATGAAAAATGGTTCATTTCATGAGCATTTTTTAAGCATGCAGGCTTTTACAGGAACATTTCTGACACAGTATTGTAATACGGAGGCCCTTCCAGCTTCCTAGTGTTACTCTGCGGTAGCTGTAATGATCTAAGGACAGAGGAGGTGATGGTTTGTAGGCTGAAGTGGTAACTTTAGTAGACCAATAGCTGTAAAAATGAGAGGCTTTTGGACACACAAACCTTTCAGGTTTGAAATAAAAGCACAAGATTACAAAGCAAAATACAAGCTGAGAACAATTGCTTGGTTTCTGTTTGGATACAAATCAGGTAAACTGTCTCTGAAAGAAAAGGAAAAGGTCATTGGTACCTACAGGGGGGTGGGAGCAGGGGAAGACGAGGTAGTAAGACAGTTACTAGGAGGGAAGTAGGAGGTGGATAGTGTGGAAGAGAAGGAAGATGAAAGATGAAAAGGCTAATGGGAAGAAGGGAATTTATAATATGTCATAAACCTAATCTTTAGTCCTTGTTTTTTCTGTATCCCTTAGATTTATGAATTTTTGTTCTCAGGCTCGTGTTTAGAAGATGACTTTTTAGAATTCCCTTGAGCATCCAGGCAGAGAGATCAGAGATGGAGGGATTGATCTGTAAGAAATGTTCATCTGCTGCCAGCTGGGTCATTTGTGCGAGTTCACGCTGGCAAAAAGTAGCTGCTCTGTTTCGCGTTGTTAGTTACCATGTAGGCATTTGATGCGCAGGATAAAGTATATTAACATTTTGGAATTGTAAGTACAGGATTCAAGGGTGTTAATGTTTCTGTGGGAGGACGTATTTAGTTTGGTAGTAGTGGGTATATATTGGCAAGTTTACCGTTTCTTAGTCAGGCATGCTCTGCATCCATTAGGTGTACATTTTATTGCAGGGAATTTGCGGGTGGGATGGGTGGCTCTGGTAAGGTTTCTTTCAAAGTGAGTTCTTTGAGTAGTGCTCACAGTTGCTTAGTAATTTTGTGTATTGGTTCTAGGGTAGAGTCATACATGACGACCAGGGGTATACAAGCAGGAACAGAATCTTTTTGGAATTAAGTTATTCTTTATCTGGTGTTCAGATGGCTCTTCAAAAATGCAGGCTCTCTCCAAAGACGACTGCTGTTGTTTGGAAGCTGTCCTGGACATTACATCCGAGCCCAGGGCACGTATATTGCTTTCTGAGAGATGCTTTATATTACAGCTGTTGGGTATGTTTTGGATTACAGCTGACTACATGAGGTGAGGTGTGTTGGTCTATAGGCTTTATACGTGTGGCAGGGGAATATTGTTTGACTCTTGGGGTTTAAATCAAATTAGGATCAACTCAGCTCATTGATTTGTTAGCAACACATAATTAACCTGCAGTCAGTGCAGCACATCTCAAGGATAAGTATCAGCTATGCAACAGGTAAACCAGAATACTAGACACTTTTATAATGCTAATGAATGCCTACAAATTTCAAACTACCCTTCTGTAAGTGTTCACAAGTTACTCTAATCCCCTTCCCTAAACACACACACAATTTAGAGTTCCACGTGCACGCCCCCACTTTCACAGGAGCCCATTGCCCTTCTTTTGGAAGCATGAGATTCCCTTCTTATATGTGGGCGTTGTTGGACGTGTGGGTGCTCCAGCTTCGTGTATACCCAGAGCCACCACAGAGTCACATACTCGGGGTGTGGGTTCCTGCGTGGTGCACCCCGTACTGACAGTCCTTCAGATGGATGCAGGCTACTTACGGCTTCCAGCGGGGAGGGAGGATGTGCCACCAGGCCAAGGCGGTGTTGGGGTGTCTGACTTGGTTTGACTGCTGCTCTGTTCCGCCCCAAGGTTCCTCTGCACAAACACAACTTTTCATGCTGCTTTTACACTGCTTTTCAAGGTGACTTCTCCTTTTCTCAAAAGTTTCTTGGTAATCTCCTGGTCACTGTTTAATCGCATCATTTTTAGCAAATTCATTGTTTACTTTCCTCTTAGCATTATCATTTTTTAGGCAAACACCCCCTCAGAACAGGTAGTTTTGGCTGTTCCTTTCACAGGCACTGTTGCACTTGTGTGCTCATTGTATCAGCTGTTGTTTATCCAGTCTGTTGCCAAGAGGGTGCTCTGCAGATTCTCCCACACTATGTAATATCGTTCGCAGATTGCAATTTTGATCATAGAGCTTAAGGAAGTGATATCAGCATAAAAATGTTTTCAAGACATTTTAATATAAGGATGATAATTACTGATTATTTGAATTAGTGAGAAAGTCCAAATTATCTGCCCAATAGTAAAGATTCTACCAGTTAATACGGCATAGACTTGGGGCAGAGTTATTTTAAAACTCTTTTTCAAGGTGGTCTGTGGGGAAAAGAAAAAGTCAAACTGTGGAGTCAGTGTCTAAGATCTGAAAGGAAAAATTGATTACTAAAAGGAAGATTGCAGCAGGTAAGGATGAAATGCGTAAGCCTTGAAATATCCATAGTCTAATGCTCTCATCTTTGGTTGTCATCTTGTACATGTCTGGAGGAGGCTGAGGTCATGACTGGGCAGACTAGCGCTGTGTGTGCTAAACAGCACGGTACTGAGGGGAAGCACTTTATACCGGGTCCTTTGTGGGAGAGGTCTTTTGTAGCCGGGAGAAAAACTGATCTTCACCTGAAAAGGGCTTTGAGGATGGTTTCAAAGGAAGTTGGTAATTTCTCAGCGAGAGTTCTCTTGTCTGTAGATCCTGGGGAGTAAGTACGGTCTTGAGGTAGGAGATGGGGGATTAGATTATACAGTTGTTTCCATCTAGATTTCTTCATGTGTTCAATAAACAAGTGCCCAAGAGCATTATACTATGCCCTGTACATGTATGTAATGAAAAGGAAATATTTATAGAATAGAGACCAAAATCCAAAAACAGTTAAAAAAAAAAAAGCATGAATAGAGCAAACAGAGGCAAGACAAAGGCGAAACAGTTCTGAATAAGCAGCAGCCAGCCTACCCAAATGCATAGCTATTACAAAGTGATTAGTAGGCAGAGGAATTAGTAGAAGGTATTTAAAGAGGGATTTAAAGTACGACATAGCAACTTGGTGACTTTTCATATTTATATGGGCACAATGAAAAAGCACAAAGGGGAAGAAGAGAGTCACAAGGTGCAAAAGGTTGGATCATGTTTGCTAATGGCTCTTGAACATTGTAAAGTTCATTGAAGAGTTGGAGTTGCAAGGAAAAGGAATTTAATACTGCAAGTAAGTAGTTTAGAGGAAAGGCAGTGGGGAAATTGGAAAAGCATTGGGTTTGGTAGATGAACCTAGCAAAGGCACGGCATTTCCACTCAGCTGCAGTGGGAAAAAAAAGCTTCCATTTAGAGCTAGAAAATAACTGAAGAATTTTAGATAGAAGTCTTGCAAACACAGCTGTATGGTTACAGGTGGTGGCAGAGCCACAAGTCCTTGCTCTTAGAGGCTCATTCTTGTTCCTGCCATGGGCTAGTTAAATTTTAAGATTTTTATGCTGTACAGTTCAAGAAAGGGTTATTTTTATCCTGGGTCGCTTCAGTGATCCAGTTCACAGTGTGACCCCATGGTTTAACCCTAGCAACCAAGAGGACGGTAACATTTTTTCACACCGTTTTTTCTACTGAAGCCAGCGTATCTGGTAATCACACTTCATGAGCCTTGGCTGTCCGCCTCAGAACAGTAAAAGACTTGACAATCTCATTCATTTTTTTTGTCTTCCCATTTTCTCTTTTTAAAAAAAATTACCACTGTATAGTAGTCTGGGGATTTCTCCAAATTTAGAAAAGTTCCAGATGGCTCTGTTGCACTGTTCAGTCAGACTTTCTTTTGCTGTCTGTAACTTTTCAAAATGAATCTTTGTCATGCCGTCAAGAGAGAGGATAATAAATAATGTGTACCTATGTGGTACTCGTTCTTTGATGGAAAGAAAAACAGGAGACGTGTTCGTTCACTTTTTAACCTTTATGATAGAATTCTTCATAGGTTTTAGTTTGTTGAATTCATTAACATCTAAATGGAATACAATTGTGATAGAAAGTAGGAAGTTATTAAAGTGATTATAATCCCAATGCTTAAAGCTGTAAATCAGATTATTATGTAACAGTGAGCTGATCAGCCTGGCATCAGTCCTAGGTAAAATCTTGGAATGGCTGATAGAAAACACCGTCAGTACAAGGCTGAAGGGCAGAATGAACGTGGCCGAGAGATAAGGCCAGAAGGAACAAATAAATTTTTTCTGGAGAAGATTTGTGGGTTTGACTGATAAGGAAACCAGTTGAAATACCAGTTTCTGTAAGACATTAGTATCACGTTGCATTTCAGGTGAATATGTGAATTTAATGTAATTCACATTCAGCAGCTCAAAGCTGATTAATATATTGGAAAAAAGTTTTAAGTGGGATATCATCACACAAGGGGATAGCTTCTGATGCATTCCAGGAGAGATCCGTTCTCTGCTAAAAATTGGTAATTTTTACCAATCATCAGGGAAGGTAAAATGCAGGCATTTAAAATATGGATGATATAGGTCAATTGTTAAACAAAATACAATTAAAAAAACCAAAGAGGCATTTTAGTGCTGCCAAATGGAAGGCTTACATCTGGGAGCAAGAATGCTGATCAGTGGAAAGTTGTGACTCAGAATAGAGCAGAGCTGTTGTACAGGTCGTGTAATGTGGTGGCACAAAGGGATCCTTCGCTGTATTATCAGAGAAAAACTCACCAGGAATAGGAAGGTGAGGTAGCTTATAGACCTTCAGCGTCCATCTCAGAAAATCACAATCTATTGTACATTATAAGACATTCAGAGATTTGGGAACACTTGGGGTGCTTCGGCACGCTTGCAGACCTGCCTTCTGTTGTGAACCAGTACAGGAAGAACATATGGAGCACAAAAAGGCTTCTCAGTAAACAAAGAATAACAAGATCTTATGATAGGAAGCAATAAGAAAAGCTAAAACTAGAAATGAGACACATGGACCGAACAGCTGGCATAATTAAAAATGGGAATATTTAGCAGGGAAAATGTTGCATGTACGCTATGTAGATTCTTTGGATTTGGGATGGATGTTGCTGTGTGGGGCACACTGTCTTCCATCTGAAAGCGATGGAGGTACTGTGGAGGAAAGCCTGCAGGAGCAGCAGGCCAGCAGCCTGTGTGTGAGGCTGTTATGATCCCTTCTTTACGTGAAACCAGTGATGGTGAAAACTGGGAAAGAGCTTTCAAGCAATGGTCCCAGGTGCATGTGAGCAATGCTGTCTCTGGGGGCCCTGGCAGAACTGCTGGGAGACACGTGGTACAGCAGGCAGGAGCAGGCAGGGCAGAAGCATTTGCATCACCTGAGCGATGCAGAGTAGCAGAATCTATGAATCAATGCTGGCAAAGCTAGTCCTTATCGCAAAACTTGAAGCTAACACAAATCCTAGTGAATTCTGGTTCTTGTTTTCTTCTTGGTGCTGTTTTTCACTACTGTAAAACCATTTAACTGTTTAAGTATGTGCCAAGAAGCCAGGTACATCTTCAGTACGTTTCTTGGTTACGATAGAGGCAGTCCTACCTTTTCACGTAGGAGGGTTCTTCTGTAATTGATCTGCTCTTTCCACGTGGCTACTTGCTGTATTCTTATGATTATGCTCCAATATCTTATGTTTTGTTTCGATTTGTTTTCACTAGTTTATTTTGTTATCTGTAAAAAATAGGGATTCATGAGGGTACAGTGTTAATTCCCCCAGGTCAAAGTATACAGCTTTCCTATTGACCCTGCCACATGTACAATGCACATCAGTTGTCTCTAGATCAAGGTACAATGCACTCAGTTGTCTTTTCCACCCACAAATCCTTCTTTCTCCAGATCAACAAACCTCCATCCTTCTTCCATAACTCATCAGATTTCTGTGATTTGCTTTCACATTTCTCATGTCCATGGGCAGTTAGGATAATGTTTTTGTTGAACTTGAGATAGTCACTGGTATTTTACATTTGTTCGTGTTGATTTATCTGAATAAAGAATTCTTTATAAACCACCAGGTAGGCTGACCTTTATGTATTACACTTTGTGTTCTGAAACATTTATAATTTACATTCAATACAAAATACAGACAATTTAACTCAGGAATGTATTGGGGTTTTATTACTATTTATTACAAAGAAACATGGGGTAATTCCTCTGAAAATTCATGACATTTTACTCTATGCTCTATGAATAGCATATTTTTTTCACGGCCTTTTTTGTTTGGCTAGTTTATAGGATTGAACGTATGAAATTATCACTATCTTTTTATTTTGCTTTTTTCTAGCAACTTTTTGTTAATATTTATATATTATCCTTTTTTAATATTTATTCTAGGAGGACTTGTTGGTATTGAGGAAAACTGTGAAATCCTTTCTGGCTGTCTGCCAGCAGTGTCTATCAAATGTCAACACTCCAGTCAAAGAACAGGTAAAGGAAATGTCTGTCAGATGCTTTTAGAAAAGCGTGAATGTTAAACTGTAGTAAAACTCAAGATGATACTATATCAAACTTAAAGTAGAATCATCTGTGCCTTCTATCTAAATAAAACTGAACAAACACTCCGCTAGTGGAGCTGTATTAAAAGCGCCTTCAATGCACAGCTAATGTCAAATTCGTGTTTGAGATATCAATAAGGATTACCTGGATGCTTGGGCTCGTGTTAGCTGTCATCGCTTTAGGCATCTAACTCAATCACCTAAAATAAAAGCCCATTCCTTTAGATGCTTGCTGTATTAACAGATGGAAACAGGCACTTTTAGAGGGTGATTGAGACCTCAAATGCCCTGAATATTTCTCTGTATATGTATTCTTTTTTCCCCCCCTGTTACTGACTATTAGGGAGTCTGGAGTGACTGTTTTCCTGCCAAAGGCAAATGCCTGAAGCCTCGATGATATTTCATTATTTTGTTATCCTAATAATTCAGTTCAATGTAGTGGTGAATACTAATTATTGTATCTCTTTCCCATTGTGGCTTGTGGGAGAAAATTGAGGCTTCTAGTTGTACAGGTCATACTACTGCGTATGTTCTAGCGGGGAAAAAAGTTAATTCATGTTACAAAAATACTCTGAATAGCAATAAAAATGTTGTGTCCTCTCACACCATGCAAAAATTTTCACTTCACAAAAAGTTAGGTCTCCTTGAGAAATCAGAGTAAAATATCTATTTAAACAGTGTCCTAGTTATAGAAATAGAAAGATCTGGAGGGTTTTTAGATTCTCATCAATATAACCATTATAGCTTCGGTCAGTGTGCTTCCCTGTTTGGTAGGCTGACTGAAGACTTAAGTGTGTGCATCTCTCTGCATGTGTATGTGTGTGCACACATATGCCAAAAGTATGTATGTGAAATATTGCATAATAAGGTATCTGATTTTTTTTTTTTTAATGATTCAGTGTAGTTATGCAATTCTCTGGTTTAGATTTTTGGGAAGCCACGCATGTGTGGAGTGGGAAGTTTCTGCTATGTGTCTTTAGAAATTGAAATAAAAGAAATTAAATCCAAAGGCTTGTTGAAATAGTTTGCAGTCTGAAAAAAACCAATAGCTGGTTTGTTTGCTTATATAAATCAGCATATTTTCATAAAATTTCAAGTCTGTTGACATCTTTTAGTTGTCTACAAATCGCATTTCTATCAGACCTCCCAAGATTTTGCAAAGACTGCAACTAACTGGCCTGTGGTTTTTGCCTGTGGTTTTTAAAAGATAGTACTTCTTAAAAGACAGTTTTATTTTTTTGAAAGATAGCTCTGCTTGGCATTTACACTGTGTTCTGCAATATAAATATTAAAGGCTCGGAGCTGTTGCTAGTTTATGTATTTTTAAAAGGTTCTGATGTGTCATTGTCTTCCAGCAGACTTAACTTTAGTAATTGTTTTTTAATATTCTGAGTAGTTACTCTTGGCATATTTTATTAATATTATATAATGTGAAAATATCATCTAGCTTCATGAAAATACCAACCATTCTAGTTTAAGCTAGCACTAATGTCTTTTGCATCAACAAATGGTAAATGATCCTTCCCGTTACTGCACTGTTTTTGTTCTTGATATATATTAACATATTTTTATTCTTTTGTTATTAGTAGCCACAGGTTTTTTTGTTAGTAATTTAAATTCTTCTTTGAAGCTCCTTTGCAATTCACAGTTCTGTGGCAGCTTTCACACCTCAGCTAGACAAAGCCACGACCAACGAGACCTAGAGACAGCAAGTGTCCTGGTCAGAGTAGGTTGGACTAGAGACTCCAGAGTCCTTTCCAGCTAACGCTTCTATGATCTTTTTCATTTTCTTCCTTAAAAAGTATGTTTCCTCAAGTGCAGGATTGCTTCTTAATCCTTTTACTGAATTTTTTTTTTTTGAGAATTCTCTGTAAATTATATTGTCTCCCTACCAGATTTGATTCTAAAACTATACATTCTTTCCAGAGAAGATCAATGTACATATCAAAGGAAGGAAAAATGTAGTAAGTACTTCTAGAAACTGGACTGAAACATTTCAAATTTTTGTGGACTATATGAGTGAAATAAATCTCCTGTGACTAGACCTATCTACAATACGTAGACATCTGTATCCAAGTCCACTGCTATCTTTATATTGGACAGAAATAAGCACTTCCAGTGCATTATTCATGTGCTCTTTTTTAGAGGCCTACAATAGGATGAGCTTAAATCCTAGTGAGTATCAAAGGAGTCTAGAGCAGCTGAGATCATCGCTGAAGTGAATCACAGCGTTTTGGATCCAGTGGAGAAAAATCCCAAATACTGGCATCTGTCTCCAAAGTCTAAGTAGAACAGAGTTTACAATGATTTGCATTTTGTTCTTGCCTAAGTATAGCTCATTCATTTTATAACATACTCCAAGAAGTAAGTGAGCTGCTATGACGTTCAGTGTTCACAAAGATTTCATTTTTGAGCTTTGTAAAGCAGATTGCTCTCACTACTTTTCCTTAGGTTCGGTTAAAAATATGTTTAAACACACACGTAACTACCTTTCTGTTCAGCTGTCTGTAGAGGGGGAATATGGGGCTGACTCAAAGCCTGCACTGGGTTTCACGGCGCTGTCAGAGCTGTTCTGCAGTCTCCCTTGAGCTGAAAATGCCTTCGGTGTACCACCTACCTGGGAATGGTGACTGACGCTGCCCTGAGTGAGACTCCTGCAGGCTTCTGGGGGAAGAGACAGCACGTCCGGCATAGGTCTTCTAGGAGTCTTTTTGCACATTCCTACTTTGAACCTTCCTCTCTCTCTCAGTTTTCAGAACCTGGGGTTAAAGATAGAGAAACTAAGATGATTAAAAAGTACTTTCTGAAAGGTGCTCAGGTGTCGAATGTAATGCAGCAGAATACAGCTGGCCGTGACACTCCAACATAAGCCACGGGGAAAACAGTGTTATTCTTGTGCATGAGAGTGTACAGATAAGCCCTTGAAAGAAATGAAGTTATTAATAGCTGCCTTCTTTCTCTTTTCTCAGGTAACGAGAGTATAATAACAATGAGCATAAATCATTGAAAGTTCTGCCCTGGTTGGCTTTTACCTACATTTGAAAGCTGTACAGAGCTACTTGGTCGTTTTTGCAGAGCATTGTTGATGAAATCCTGCAAGGATTTCTTTGCTTGCAGCTGCTTTCTCTGCATTTTCAGGATCTGACAGTAACTCAGCTTGGATTTTCCCTCATAATGTTACTCATTTTTTTTTGCTTGTTTAACTTTTCTTACTTACTTATCTAAAGAGGTGTTTTTTCTTTACTACAAATTTGGCTACCATGTGATCAGAGGTAGATTTAGAGTTCTTTTCATAGAGAAGAAATTGAATGTGGATTATTCTGGACATGGAAGAGGTAGTAAACACAGTTCCTGGCATAGGAATCAAAGGTATAAGGTTTTAAAGTTAGGGGAGACCCTCATGAACACTTTTCACAGCACACAAACCACCAGAACTGAGTACAGTTACAGAAGGACATTTAATAATAGCAGGGGATATCTGGAAATTGGCTAAATGGTATTTTATTTTTTACATACTTAGGGTTCTTACTGCATTCATTCTCTTTTGTCTTTCAGGCTTTCATGTTGCTCTGTGATCTCTTGATGATTTTTAGTCATCAGCTGATGACTGGAGGTCGAGAAGGTCTTCAGCCTTTGGTGTTTAATCCAGATTCAGGACTCCAGTCAGAACTCCTCAGTTTTGTGATGGACCATGTCTTTATTGACCAAGATGATGAAAACCAGAGCATGGGTATGTTTAGCTTTCATGTTTTCTACTTAGCTTTTTTCATAACAGCCAGAGAAGAAAGCGTAAAGTAGAATTTTCAGATCAGTGTGCTCAGATGTTTTCAGAATTATTCTTTCTTTATTTTTGGGAGGCATGAATATGAAATATTCAATATTCAGTATTCTTGTGTTAAAGAAGAGTAAGTACTTATAAAGTTCATTCATAAAAAGAGATGTTCTCAGAAGACATGGGAGTGGCCTGTAACTACATGCTATAAATCTGGACAAAATTATTCTTCCTTTACAGATCTATATTTTTCTTAATATTTATTTCCAAAACCGTACAGTCTTAGTTCATCAGCAAACTTCATTTAATATGGCTTCAAGGGGGGTAAACACGATGGAACAGTACACAGAGGAGAAATCCTTTAGAGTTACTACATGGAGTTGTAGGATCCTGTAGGCAAACCTACCCAGTTTCTGAATCCTGCATAGCTTTGGAGAAGAGATGGATTCCCAAATAGTCAAGCTCTGTGAAAGAGTTCCTGAGCACCTACTGCAGCGCTCTTTTTGGCACGTTTTCTGAATTTCCACTGAACTCTGTTACGTGTATGTTATCATGACAGCTATTTTAGATCTTTTAAGACAGCAATATATAGAACTAAGATCTCAGAGATTGTATTCTTGCTCTAAAGGGGCTTTTAGTCTTCTAGCTCCCTAGCTCCTTAGTACCTGACGTCTTCGTTGAGCATCTCTTTACGGATTCCTGGGAAGAACACATTTTGAAACACACCTTCACCAAAAATGTATGTGCACTTAATCATACTTTGTGAGTTCAATATAATTTCAGAATAATACATCAAGGATTGATTTTAGGAGGACAGTGTCTAATCTGTTTTGCTCTTCAGCAAAAGAACATGCATCTAACATGCTGTGATTGGACTGGGAAGACAGCAAAAAGATGGACGAAGATCTCTGTATGTGATCTCCATTCCCTAATGCTACGCTGGCTCCATGGAGCCAGTCTGACCATTTATAACTTTTGGTATTCAGAGCTCATCAGTAATGATAAAAGGAAATTAAGAAGAGGCAGGGGTAGTGTGCTAATGAGCTTCAATTCTGTGGGTTAAAGCATCTCAGGAGTAAAACAGGCACTCATATCCGCAGTCAACTCCACTGCTCGTAAGAGATTTCCTGTGATCAAATAAATGACTTAAGAACTGTGGCTCTAGTAAGAGTGTACCAAGAGAGTCTCAGTAACACTATGTCCCTTCTCCCCCCGCCACAGGTCTGTGCTTCTGCAAACTGCCTGGAAGATTCCCTCCAAGAAGTAGCTCTTCTGAATACCACAGAATATTTACATTTATCACAAATGTTATAGCTTGATTTTATTTTCTCATAGAATTTTTATTGATATTATATTTAACGTGTATAGTTTCATTTTCATTTACAGAGTGGAGTCTCACATGGGGACTTCATACTTATGACACTGCCATTCAATGTTAATGTTTCTTACAACTGAATTTTACTTCCTGTAGTTATTGATGCTTTAGAGCCATCGATTTCATATCTGAAAATCCAAGGCATGCAGTAGAAGTATTGCTGCTTCTGATTTTTCTGATGTGAAATATTTATAGCTTTGTCATGTTAAAGAAGCGTCTCCCAATGTCCTGTGTTTCAGAAGTTAGGCAAAAGGTGTTCAACAAGTCTTCACTGTGGCCTTTCACAGGGTGAAGAAAATCAGTGAATCAGTTCCATGCGGCTTATGTTCAGTACCTACTCAGGATATAGATAGCATCCTTGGTCAATGGTGCCTCCTGTTCCTGAACTTTCCTGAAGGTCCTAACACAGGCAGGACTCAAGAATTACCACCTTTCATTTTAGCTTCTCCTGCAACAATCCTTGCTGCATTTTAAAGAATTTATTTTTTCTAAAAGCTGCTCTTCTATAATGTTGCTTTAGAACATAGCTGTCGCTTATAAACATTTTTATTGTTGTTGATGCTTTCAGAGGGAGATGAAGAAGATGAAGCTAACAAAATAGAAGCGTTACATAAGAGAAGAAACCTTCTGGCCGCCTTTAGCAAGCTGATAATTTATGACATTGTGGACATGCACGCAGCAGCAGATATCTTCAAACACTATATGAAGGTACAGCTCTGTGTATTCTCCTCTTCCTGAGTCAACACAGATTGTAGGGTCAGGTCACTTGTTTTTCTCCCTGCCAGTGCAGTAGTTAAAGGCTGAACACTTTTGAAAGCTTTTCCAGCCTTACTTGATTTGTTTTGTAACAGTTCTTCCTTTCGAAATTACACCTGCCACTGAGAAGCAGTAAGCTGTGAGCTCCCTCTCCTCTGCAGCAGGAGTACCTTGTTAAAGGCCGCACCAAAAGTTGGTCCTACAAGGTGCTGAGTGTTTCCACACGGGCTCCCCTCTACAGAGAGTTTCTTACCCTGCTCCTCACGTTCATTCCTAGAATCCACAGTAACAGTTACCTGTTTGATGTCATATTTCCCTGGGAGTCTCCCAATCTTGGTGCTTGCCATAAGGAAGCAGTTTTGCAGAAATGCACTGAATGTCTTACGAACTTAGGCTGCTTCCAGACAGTATTTAGGCCCAATGAAATTCAGAAGGACTTGCTGCTCAGCTACCACTGCACCCTGTACTTAGGAGTTCACCTGCCAGAAAACAGGCACATTAGCAGTCCTGACACTGCCACGCAACACAAAGCCCCTCAGATTATACCTTGTCTGTCTCCCTGTACGGGATTAGTCATCACAAAGATGACAATCGAGCAGGAAAACCTGTTTGAGATTTTGATGTGAAATATAAAGGATCTAACTTTAAATCCTCCTCCTCTTCATTAGGAGCACACAGTACAATAAACTCCCCAGTGCACACTCTAGCCATCAGCCAGGTTGCTCTCCTCGGAGTTAGTCTTGCATAGGGGTTTTTTGCCAGAGCAGGAGATTCAAACCGAAACTGTCACAGTTCAGGTTAGTTTCCTACCTGCTGCTCTGAGTTGGTCTTCTCTTCTGGAAATTGGGGGGAGTGAAAGAAATTGCATTTAAATTGGAATACAAACCAGAAGGATCTTTGTCCCAAAGAAGGCAGGAGCAATATTGAAGAGGGAATGAAAAGAAGTGGTTGCAAGTGCAGAAATATTAATCAGGCTGAAAGAATACTGGTTGGAAAAAAAATTTATGTTCTTGGCCTGGAAGTTTTAATGATTATACCGGGTTTTCTACCCAAATGGTCTGTACTATAGGCTGTGCTTTTCAGCAACCACTTTTCTAACACAAAGAAAACCAGCACTTCGTACTAATACCACAGCGAATTCCTTTCCTGGCCATCTACATCACCTTGCACTGTATATGGGGCTTCACACCTGTGTGCTGGTGACTGTTCACACCTACGTGTTGAAGGGTGTGTTGGTTCAATGTCGTGCTGTTTCTCAGAATTTGCAACTGTGGGTCACTTTCATCAAATATTTAGTTTGGGGTAGGAAATACTCTTTTGTTTTTCAACATATTTGTTATAAAACATAATAACACATGCAGAAGTTCCTTATCTCATCGCTGGGTGCAGGCTACCAATCACTTTGAATGTTGGTATTGAAACATCATCTCCCACTCACAAAAAAACTGGATTTGAGACTGGGTTTTTTTGCATCTGCTGCCTTTTCAAAACAAGAATTACAAGTAATCTTTCTATCGGGAAAATTGTAGGAAATTGTATAAAAGATTTGATTTAAAGATTTAAAGGGTTTTTTTCCACATTTTTTTTCCTAGTACTATAATGACTATGGAGATATCATTAAGGAAACCCTGAGCAAAACAAGGCAAATTGATAAAATCCAGTGTGCAAAGACACTCATTCTCAGTTTGCAACAGGTAAGAATATTGATTTTTGTTAGAAAAACCTCACTGAAAAAATACTGGACAGGATTTTCTCTGGTGCCCTTTACAATGAAGTGAAAAATACTACATTTCTGTTACGAGATTATCTTGCTCCTCGTTCAGGCTGCCACCATTCGTTTGTCTCTGTAATCTCTGTCTCCGTAAGGCCATACTGGCAAAGTTTTGGTCAGATTAAAATGGAAGAAAAGCAGAGAAGAGCCTTGAAGGCAATTTGGTCCAAGCTGATCTATAGCGTTTGTTTATTGGTACTAGTCAACAAGAAGAATTAGGATGACTTTTTTTCTTATAATTAGCTGGAAGTAATACATCTTCTTTACATTTTGTCTAAATACTGATTGATTTTTTTTTTCCAAACTTCAAGCTAATTAGTTTAAGTCTTCCAATATTGTTAAACATATTTTTTCCCTGAAAAATTTGCTTTACATCAACCATAAATTATTGGCTTGATGATGAAATCCATCCTTGTTCTGCCAACAGCACAAAGTGTGTGCTTCACTAAATACCATTTAGGCCCTTGAAGTACCAGTTACATCCATTACGTAGAGAAATTACTTCTATAAATTAGATGTTTTCAAATCAGGTAAGCCTCCCCAAATTCATCCCAGAGAACTAAGGGATTTCCTGTAGCAATCTGGAAGCTGAGAGATATCTGTGAAAACTTGAGAAAAACAGATGTACTTCTGGAAGAATCGGCGAGTGTCAAAGTAGCTCCTGTTGTTAAAACTTGGAGAGAGAAAAAGCCAGGTGCCATAGATCAGTCAGCCTAATGTCATTTCATGGAAAAAACATTAATTAGACAAGCTATTTGCAAGTGCTGAGTGATAGGTAACAGCCAGTATAAATTTGTCATGGAGAAATCATGTCAAATTAGGCTGCTTTCATTAATTATATGGTAACAGAGCTTGTGGGTATCAGAGAAACAGTAGATCTAATGCAACTTGATTTAATATTGTTGCTGACACCGTCTCTCTTGATATTCTCGTTAGCAAGTTAGGAAAATGCTGTCTAAATGGCAGTACCAGAAGAAGGTCTAGAACTGATTGGAAAACCACTGAGTAGTTCGTTATTGTACTGAAAGGGCGTTATCAAGCAGGCTTTGAAGGCATTTCCCCAGTAATGTTCAGATATTCATAAAGTTTTGAATGATGGAATAGCAATTTTGCTTCCTAAATTCCTAAACAGAAGATGCTGATCTGATAGGTGATGTAGGTATTTTAGAAAACAGCATAAGAATGTGGAATCATCTTGATGAGTTGGGAAAATAATAGATGTAATTCAGTGAAGTGCAAAATTGAGTTTGAGTTACCGTCTGCACAAGCACAAGATGGGGGACAGTTGGCAAACGGCAGTTACGCAGAGGAAAGTCTGGCAACTGAAGTGGATTAGAAGTTGAATATGAGAGAGCTCTGTTACATCTCTGCAAAAAAAGTCATTGTAATGCCCACTCTTAGCCGTAACAGCTTAAAAACACAAGTCTTTCTCAAGAAAAGTATTTTCTAGCCCACAGATTTTAACAATGGAATTCTTTCTCTAGCTGTTTAATGAGCTTGTTCAGGAGCAAGGTCCCAATTTGGACAGGACATCTGCCCATGTTAGTGGAATTAAGGAACTGGCCCGTCGGTTTGCCCTCACTTTTGGCTTGGATCAGATCAAGACAAGAGAGGCTGTGGCCACACTGCACAAGTGAGTGGTGGTAAATAAGCGAGATTTTTATATTACTTCAGATTAAACGCTTTGCTCAGCATGTCTTTTCTAAAGGTACGTAATCTCAACAGGTCCTGGAATAAGGATGTATTTTTTCTAGTTTATGTAGAAAAATGCTGGGGAATGTGCATGTATATATGTAAGAGAGGAAAAAAGAACTTGCTGTTACCTAATTATTTGTTAGAATTTATTGGAATGGCGGTGTTTATCTCAGGTAAAGCCACTGGTAGTACACACATTTGTGTGGACTGTATCTAACAACTGTAGATAGTTGTTTGTACCACACCACTGTGGGTTCTGTAGGCACCGAGGGCTCTTGGTATAAAAAGGTATTCCAGAAGTACTTTGGAAATCTTTTTTTTTTTTTTTTTTTTTGAGTGGATTGAAGCTTTTTATGGAACTGCTGTGTAGAAAAGTGTAAAAAGGTGCTGCTAAATTTAAATTATGACTTTCCCATGCCATAAAAAGGTTAAAATATTAAAGTTTGCTATCTCAGAGACTAAGTCATTAAGACTTAGCAAAGTATGATCAAAACGCTACCAGACACTTGCCTGTGGCAAACAGAAGTCAAGGCATGCACGCACCATTACTGGATAATGTGAAAGTAAATTGTTCTCTTTAGTCTCAAATGATAAAGCAAAGATAAGGCAGAGATGCATGTATTGATGTCCTGGTAAGTAAATTCTTTTCTCTGACTCTTGATGCAGAAGTTAGATCTTGTTCTAGCACACATATTATTCTTGTTGCGAGCTTCCGCTTCATGCAGAAACAAGAGCGAGCCGTTTGGCTGTTCCTGCTAAGGCAGTGCCTTTCAGCACCTGCCAAGGTTCTTAGATCGTGGTAAGTTCCTTCTCACCACACGATTGGCAATATGTTGTCTTTGAGATTGAATCCTCATGAATTGAGAGGCAACTTCTGATTCCCCTTTGTCCAAAAGCAGCTGTTTGCCAGTAATAGGGGGAAGTAATGATGGGCTATAAAGAATTTCATCACAGTGCAGATTTTGGGCGGCATTTAGCAGTGATGGATGTCTTTTTTTTATTTTGTTACAAATGTCTGAAAATTTTAATATTTCTTTACTATAGAGATGGCATAGAGTTTGCCTTCAAATATCAGAATCAAAAAGGACAAGACTATCCACCTCCTAACCTTGCTTTCCTTGAAGTGCTTAGTGAATTTTCTTCTAAACTCTTGCGACAGGACAAAAAGACTGTGTAAGTAACGCTCCGTTTTCTTCTGCGGGTTTTGCTGGGCTCCGTTAATCACTGTAGTGTGTGTTTAAGCTCTCTGCTCTGAGGTTTTCACAGTCTAACGGGGGCTATAGGAAGTCCCAGCAAGCCATTTCACATACATAGTTATTCATCATTTTACATTTTAAAGTAATAAAAATAAATGAGAAAAGGAGAATCAGAGCTACTGATGAGGTGAGCTTGAGACCTCACAAAACAATGATCCTTAAAATTTCCCATGGGGCACTGAAAATAAAAAACAATTGTTTTTAGGCTAGAAGAAAAAAGAAATGAAATGTTAACAGTGCAGGAAATTTACAGGCCTGTAAACACTGCAGTAACATCTGTTTCTGTTAGGTATTTATATAAAATGTAAACATGTATTTGTTGTTTGTTTTAACGCATTGATTTGAACTGGGAAATAAAGGTTTGTCAAGGCTTCTGTTACTGGCACAACAGGACAGAGAAAGAGGCTGAGAGAGGACACTGTTGCTGGTTAGGGCAGAGCAGGGGGGTAGAGACCTGGGAGGCTGAACCAAGCAGCCTGCATTTGTTACGGCGGGTAATTACTGCAGATGAAATACGGGAAATGAAATTATTCAGAGATATTGTTGATAAGATCTGAATAAAGAGCAAGGAATACTGTTTTATGAGTGACATTTGAACTGACTGTCAGGAGAGGCTGCAGATATCAACAAGATTGGCAAAGAGAAAACTGCATTAGTAAGGGCAAGTTTGTAGTAAACACATATTGTCAGCGTCACTGCGGAGAGAATGCTCTACATTCCTAATAAGTTACGTAGCAAATATCCAGGATTTGGCCAGTAAGGGAAAAAGGGAAAAGGTAAGGGAAGTAGTGAGGGAAAAAGGAAGAGGACTCCAGTGAAAATCAGCCAAGCGCTACGTGCCCACTGTAGAGCTGAATTCTGTGAATAACTTTATGACCGTTTAAAAAATGCAATTGCCAGATCTTCTGATTTATGGTTATAGATATCTTTCCAGTCTATTTTGTGACCACAATGAGCGTAAGTCATCTGTATCTACTATAACTACCTCAGCTGACACTTTCTGTCAAACTTCTCTGTAGTTTTTCTGTGAAGAGATTTGTTTTAAAGGACTTTTCTGTTAGGGTTAACAATTATCAATATTATAGCTTTACCTGTGTTATAAGAAATGCATCATGGTTAACTTTGTATAATTTTTAACATATACACACTTGAACCAATTTTTTTTTTTTGTATCGATAATTTATCAACTCAGCAAATGCAATAGAAGAAATAGTTAAACGAGCTTGAGAACTGGATGATGCTGTTGGGCTAGCTTGGCACTCCATTTCTGAAACTGCTCTTCATTGTTATATCCTTGAATCTTGTCAACCTCTGTCCTATTCTTCAGGCCAGGACTTAAGGATAATAGGATTCTATGACTGTCTTCCTAGCTGAACCGTAGGTCCTCCTGCATCTGTTAGTTTTAGTGTCATTAGCCTGATTCCTATTTAATTTAGCGAAGCTTATCATTCTTGTACAGCTATCATCCCTTCCACAAGTTTCTCCAGTGTCTAAAATTTAAAGTTACATCATTCTGTACAGTTCCCGTGACAACTTAATTTCACCTGATCCTTTCCATGAAATTCAGTACTTCAGAAGATCTTGTTCTTTAGCCTTCTATGCCACCATTTAAAATCCTTTCTCAAAGGTTGTCCTCCTCTACTCGTTGGGAGCCCACATACCCAACCACTGCCTTCTTTCACAGGACTAAAGATTGCTGTGATGGAATCCATTTCTCCTGGTTTTAGCTGTCTTTATTGTAGTCATCTGAGCTATGTACTTTAGCTGAATTTGAAGATCAGTGGAAAGAAATAGGCCCTTTAGGACATGATTTATCTGTTCTCCGCTAAATTACTGCTTCAAGATGAGTTCAGACATGCCCTAGATTCCATTGGCTGTGGTGACTGTGAAAAGAGTCAAGATAACTTGCTTGTATGTAAAGATTTCTTCTGGAGATACCTGAATTCCTTCCCTTGAGAGACCTGTCCTGTTTGCACCCATCCGGCAATGGCTGCATTGCCCGTAGCGCTTCACTGGCGTGACATACTCAGCTGCACTCTGGAGAGTTGATTTGCCCTTCTCTGTAGCATGACTCCTCCAATCCACAGGGACCTCTCCCCCTCCCTCCAAAGGGGTTGCTTGTGATCAGGAAGGTACGTGACCACCATCTGGTGGAGAAGTCCTGTGTACGGGATCATTTACCTCCCTCCCTGGCTCGATCTCCTCCTGCCAAGTGACTGTCCCTGAACTCCGCAACGGGCTGTAAGTCTGGAGGCAAAAGTGCTCTGGAGCAACCTGGAAAGTCTCATGAGCATTTATCTGCCTGTCTCCCAGAAGTCCTCCAGCCTGGCTTCCCAACCCGAAAAAAGAGAATTACCTACTTGCTATGTCATCTGCCCTTGGTGCACAACCCGTCCTGTCAACAGTGCAGCAACCACTGCTCTTTTGCAGGGCTTCGGCTCCCTTTCTGCTTCGCTGCTGGCTTTTTTATTTGGTGACAGAAGAGGGAGATGTTTCCAGTTTGGGAATGGGGCAGCAGCACTGGTGTAATTTAGTTTTCCTATCCGATTTATTTATTCAGCTTCTTGTTTTACGAGTAGCCTCCAGAATCAGTGATAGCCATTTATGGATTTGTTCAAATCTATAGATTTAATATAAACATTTAAGGTGCCAGACTCTTACGCTTAGCAGAAAAAGATTTATACTAATGCAGTTACAAACACACAAGGCAGATAAAGGCAGGGAAGTCCTGAGGAGTTCATCTAACACAATACAGAGCTGATTTTTCCCTGTAGAGGCATTTATTTCCATTTATTTCTCTCAAATACAGACTGTTAGCTTAGACAACTTACTATTGGGTGTCTGAAGTCAGATGAGACAGAGCCTCAGCATGGTGTTCATACTTCTGGAAATTCAGAATTTCTGTCCTCGTTGAAGCTGGCAAGAACTGCCAGTATGAAACTCCTCTAAAATGCTGAGCAAAAGTTGTCTGAAGTTTGGCATCTAATCACTTAAAGGAACCCCTAAGTGGTGTAGTTTTTCCTTCTTCACAGTTTGGGCATTTTATAAATATAAATCAGATGCAGAAAAAGTTGTTACTTTCCAGGGCTATTCCACAGATAAATTCTTTAAAGTCGTAAAGCATTCAAGTGCTGTACTGTTTGGTACTATATAAGAGAGAACAAACCAAGAAGTTCCCATTCAGTGCAAGGTTTGGATGTTAGTCAGTATACACGTGAAAAGGGGAAGGAAGAAGCAGTCGCAATATAATAAATAAAACTGAATAAAATAGTAGACAGAAAACCTGATGTTTCTTGAGCAAAGTCATCCTATTCACTGAATCAAAACGAAACCCCATTAAAAATGGGATGTGATTGTTACCCAGGCATATACAGTGTTGCACCTTGTCCTACTCTGATACCTGGGCGATGTAAGAAGCTTGAGCCTGCCATGAGCAGACAGGAAAAGGGAGATTCAGAGTTCATTTCATGCAGCATTTCTGGGTTTGACTCCCACTGATGGCAACCTGGCAACGTGGTGGTGAATGTTGAAGGGCGTGTGTATTGGGAAGGGTGGTCTGTGCAGGAAGGGTAGAGGTAATGTTGAAGAATCCTGAGGTCTCTTGCCTAAATTCTGAATGCTTGGTTCTGCAGCTTGACCTTCATTAGAATCACTTTTATGTGGATTTGCATATTCATTTTAAGGACTACTTCTAATACCATAATTAAATAATCAATGGGAAAAGAAAACAACTCAAATGCCCTCCAGACCATACAGAGGAGGGAGGTTGGTTGGTTCCCCCTAAGTTAACAAGCATGCATTGGACTGCAAAGACAGTCGGACAGATCTGCCTTTTTTTTAATTGAAAAAAAAACCTGCTTGCATTTGAGGAAACCATTTCTCTTGTTCCAAGATGCAAAAGGGTATCCTACATCCTCACAATAGTGCTTCTAATTCAGTCTGTCTGGTGACACAGTAGCAATATATAGAAGTGGCTTCCTCGCTATGCAAAACAGAAAAGGAATTCAAACAGGGTGTACTGTGAATAATTGCAGACAAATGTGGGAGGAAGATGTTGGGGAGAGAACGTTTTGTATTGTTTTTCTGTGAGTAACCTGTGCGTGATTAACTGCGTTACTTTGTTTTGAGGGAATGACATGTATGCTTACTCAGAGATAGGATGCCCTACCAGCATACATTGTTAAATTAAAATAAGGAAACGCTGCGTGGGATTTGTGTTAAGCTCTCAATAATGTTGAGGAGGGCTTGCAGATTAGTAAGAGGAAACAGTGTGCTGCGCCTCTGTACTCATTGTCTTTTCTTTTCAGTCACTCCTACTTAGAGAAGTTTCTGACAGAACAGATGATGGAAAGAAGAGAAGATGTATGGCTTCCACTCATTTCCTACAGAAACTCACTAGTTACGGGTGGCGAGGATGACAGAATGTCCGTTAACAGTGGAAGCAGCAGCAGCAAAGCCTCTTCGGTGAGGAATAAGAAAGGACGACCACCGCTCCACAAAAAGAGAGTAGAAGGTTTGTATAGTTTTAGGTTGCCTGGTAGAGGCATTGCTCATTTTGTACGTAGGTTACAGCCTTCCTTCTTAGGAGTGCTTATGGTTTATCAATTAATGCTGAAATATATGATATGTTCTGTATGTAGTAAAAACAAGACATCTTTTCTGCAAATTCCTATCAGGCTTGAACGCTGCTTATGAGAAATACCGTCATGAGTCCCTGTTCTTCTCTGTCTTCGCTGAGATTTGCAGATTCCAAACTATTAAAAGCTGTTACTGAAGTTGGAAAGAGGAGGTGTTTGTGGAGTTATCTGCTCTACACCTCTCTCAGTCATGGACTTACGGTTTTCTGCCTGTACTTTGGTCTGGAGCCATTGTTCATTAACAGGGTGTTAGAGCAAAGCCAAGGCAGAAATTCTGATAGAGATCTGGATTTTTACAGGACCACCAGAGAACACTAAAAAGACACCTTTTTTTGTTTAAAGTGGTATTGATATCCAGTGTCTGTATTTACTCTTTTTGTGACTTCAGGCATGTTCATCAGGAATTGGGCTATGATAGCCAATTTCTTACCAGATTGCATCTGTTCCTGGTTAATCTGTGTGATGTAGTGTGTCCTTTTGTGAATAGAAATTTACTGTTTCACTACAGAGTAGGTGTAAGTAGGACCTTAAAACTCCAGGGACTTTTCCAAAGTCAGTATCTACAACAGTAACTCCTCACTGAGGAATCTAATGCCAGTTTGCCTGAAGATACAGCAATTTCCCCAAATATTCTTCAAAAATTTGTCCATATGCCCTTTGACAATCAGGTACATTCTCCATCACAGCTTATGTTGAGTGGTACGTGCACCAAGTCCTTCAGTTTCTTATAGCCACCCCGGAGTTCAGGTGGATGAAATGCTGCTTCCTTTCTTCAGACACTGTTTTGCTTCCTTCAGGACGCCATGCTGAGGTTTTTTTCTTTCCTCTTGTTACTATTTTCATTCTATTTTATTGTACCCTTCCTATATTCTGTATTTTTTTCCTGGGAATGTAGTAACGTCTTTGCTTCCCTGTAAGATAAGTCTCAGTCTTACAACATAGTGTTTATGGCATTGTTCGCTTCATGCTTTTTCATGTCCTCCTCTTTCAATGATCAGTAGAAGGGAGAACTGACCTGCAACACTTTCCCTTTGAATATCCCCTTTCTTTGCAACAGCTGTGGTCCTGAGTTTTTCACAAACATTACTGCCTTAAAAACGATGTAGGCGAAAGACAAGGTTGCCCAGCTATTTGTTCAGTCCCTGAAAGATCTGAACGTACAGCTGTTTCCCCTGGGAGATCATTTAGCTGTAATGCAGATTATGCCAGGACTCACTATGGGTCTGGCAGGATCCAGACACCTGCAGAGGGTATGAAGGTCTGTTTATGTTCCACCAACACCGTGGGATCAGAAGAGACCCAGGATTTATCTTACCTTAGGCAGAGTGGCCCAATGTCGCTGTTCAGCACAGCAACAAAAAATTCCCCCGTTAGTGGTCTGTGGGCAGAAGAAGGGCTGATGAACACCCCCCAGCCTGTGGGGCGTATGGCCATGTACTTTGAATACTCAAATACAGCTCTGGGTCACAGTGTAACATTTGAGGATGAGGTGTTTGAAGAACACTGGTTAGGATGTGATTCCACTCTCCTTTCTTCAGTGTGAAAACTCATAGACCTTAAATTCATAGATCACTACGCAGAGCTTCGCTGCTCATGAAAGCTTTGCTATACAAGCTCAATGTATAGGTCCAGGAAGGATGTATAGCTCATCATTGTTTGGTTTAGTCCATAACAGCCTAACTCTCTTTTCCTCGATAGATGTCTTCATTGTAGGATTTGACTGCCTGGCAGATGACAGGACTGAAGAGTTACCAGCGGGTGCTCCCTAATGGCAGCAGCACCACAAGCTCTATGGCCTTTCCATTGGCTTTGCAATGCAAGCACCAAAGTCTTGGTTTAGATGTGTATTGATACAGAACATTTGAGAACATATATTTTAGAAAGCCCACAATAATATAAAGAGTTGGAAGGACACCACATTCTTAATGTTTGGATGCTTCTTGATGTGCAATAGCCATTACTGATTGTGTTAGGCCCTAAGTATACTTCCTTTTCAATCTTGGAAAAAGGAAAGAAAGCCAAGAAAACCTGGAGCCAGGATGTCTGTACTTTTCACAGGAAGACATAGATTTCTGTCTTATTTTGTATGTACCAATAATGAGCTGATGAAATAATCAGAGATTTAATCCTGAGAAATAAGTACTTACTGTTCACTCGTCTGTACAACTTGAGCTATGAAGAACCAGCCATAACAAACAGCTGGTTGCCTACAAATTAACCCATGGTATATACATAGTATGTACACAGGTCTTTGTTGGGTTTTCATCTTTACGTATTTTTATAAATTCCAAAAGTCCTAGCTTTAATCTTAATCTGGTAATGCAGTTACAAATCTCAACACCTCTTTAAATCCTCCTAAATATTTTTTTCTTTAAATTCCATTCTAAAGGAGCTAAAAGAAGGGCAGGGTTGCTGCATGAACTATCCTTGCTTCAAAGAACCGTAACTAGTCCCCTGTGGTTCCTTTCTCACCTAAATCCAGCACTTTCAGCAGACTGTCCAGGTTGGAGAATATTCCCTGTTGTTACAGAAAGTAAATCTGCTCTGTGACATTCTTCATGATGCCTTAAGGAAATGAAACATAAATAGGATTTAAAAAAAAAAATCTCCAAAAATCTCCAACATAGAAAGGTTTAAAGGTAAATTCAGGAATAAATAGGCATCTTTTTAGACATTTATACCCAAAGGGTAATAAAAGGTGTAGGAAAAATGAAAGATCCACCGAGATCCCCATCTACTTTCTCACCACACATTTCTTCCTGTTAGTAAATCTGTGATCTTGTCTTCTCTCTTGTCATCTCCCTGTCATCCACCTGCTCTTACATTTTTTTCTACGTCTCTTGCCTACGCATTTGTCTGCTCTATCACACTTGCTCCCCTCGCAATACGAGTGCAGCATCCCACTTACACCTTCAGTCACCTTCCTGTCTCCATTCCTCCCATCTGCTCCAGACATGCTGTCTGCAATCACTTCTTAGAGTTCACACCAGCCAGACCACTTCTCTGACTCCAAATGCCCCCTCTGTACCCCACTAAAATGGTTCTTACTGAAGTTTCTAAAGATCTGTGCTGACCAGATTTTGGGTTTTATCCTCCACCCTCATCTTCAACTGTATCCTGGTTGCTGTATGCATATGCAATCAACAGTCTTAGATTTAGATTGTAGACTCAGTAATTGGGAATTACCTTTGTTAGATGTGTGCAAGACACAACAATTTAGGTAGTGCTGCAATACAGTATTTGTTTGCAATGGGGGGGGGTTGTGTTTGTTAAGTATTTCTACTTTAAATTGTTGTTATTGCTGGGAATAACTGGTAGTAATCCTTCCTCAGAAGAACACAGAGCTGAAAATTTTATCATTTTGAGTATTTATCCAGTTGATCTCTTAAAGGCACGTTTGTCTTAAAAGACACTAGACTTGAAAATCAAATTTGGAGAAGGTGCTCCAACTAAAATTAACTGTGTCGTGGTGTGTCCGTAGATGGAAGGCTGTCATTATTAATGCAAACTATTTGTTCAGTGAGCTGGCTGAACGACTGCTGAAGGCACTGAACATGGTCAGAACTGCAGCAGTAATTTTAAATGTTCTTTTTCTAGATGAGAGTCTAGAAGGCTCATGGCTGAACAGGAACGAAAACATACATACTCCAGGGACACTGCAAGCGCCACAGCTCACCTCTACTGTCTTGAGAGAGAACACTAGACAAATGGGGGAGCAGATCCAGGAGCACGAGTCGGAGCAGGGATCTGAACAAGATTTTTTACACAAGTAAGTGTTGGAATTTTGGTTTGAAATACAGTGAGCCAGGCAAAGGAGTTGCGTATTATTTACGCAGGTAGTCTGTGGCTCTATAAATGCAGCATTTATTTGCAAAACCAACTGGAAATGTCTTGGCTATAGCTCAGCAATACTTTGATCATTTCCAGTTCCTGGGAAAAATACATTGTAATGTAATCATGATAGAGATTCCTTATGTTAAAACTCTCTCGTAGCATAACCATGCGATTATGGTTAAACCTTCCTAGTGTTGGTGGCCCCAGGCTGGATCAAACTCTTTCTCTAAAGATCTGTTAGATGTTCTCTCTTCTTTCCCTCTGCCCTGTGTCATAGTACAGTTAAGGTTCTCCTGACATCCAAACTGATTTCTTGTAAAATAACTCTTCAATCCAGTTCTAGCTGCTGAGCTAGTAATTCCTATTTCTGGGGTAATTGCCTGCAGGCAATTTTATTTTGACCTAAATTATATATACTTTTTGTCACTCAACTCCCATTTTATCACCTCCATTTAGAGGGGAAAAATGTTGGTTATTATCTGTCAGTAATTTATTTAATGGAGAAGTCTGCAGGGAATGCAATTATGTGATATTTCTATTAATTTGAAGATGCAGAATAACAAATCTGGTCTGGAGACACTTCTGTAACTTTTACAGCCAGATTTACTGATCTATCTATATTAAAAAGTCGTATTATGCTGGCCAGATGAATCAGGTTTCTACCAATGTAGTATAGTATAAACCAGCCGGATTAAGCTGCTTGGTTTTCCTCCTTGCTTGTGTGCAATGTGTGCAGGCGTCAGCGGTGCAACAGATTAAACCTTGATATGATCCATTAATCAGTGCCCACCTCAGGAGATACTTGCAGTTCAGCTGGCTACAAATACCTATGAATTTTTTGAGCACACAATATTTGACGTTTCAATAATGAGTTCACCCAACTTTCTTTCCCGTATTAACTGCGTAATGTCACCATAAGACAGCGTGGGATAGGGTGGCAGGCCGGCTGGGCTGGTCCTGCACGAAGGCCGAAGTTGGGCTTAAGCGTTCCCAGCCAGCAGGTGCTGTGGGGAAGGAATGCAGGGCAAGCCTGGGCATGCATTCCACTTCAGACTGGCAGGTAGTCCCAGCTGGCCACAAGGAAAGCACAGCTGAGGAAGAGCCCCTGTTCACATCAGTTCCAGAGTATCTTTTCACTTTAATCCCACGGCATGTGAGGGTCAGGGTTCATGTGTCTTACTTGCCTTCCTGAGGTCAAGGATTTGCCTCCCAATCTCCTGCCTCCCCAGATGTTGCCATAACTTCTAGATTCTAAGGAAGCTGTTGTAGTTCTCAATTTCTTCTTAAATTTTTTCTACTCTGCAGTAAAAACAAAACAAAGAAAATTGCTGAAGCAGGACTTTCTTCCTGACCCTCTCTGATCTCACCCATCACTAAGCTAAATCTCTCTGCGAATATTAATTTGTAATGGAAAGCGGGGCAGGTTCCAGTCGCTGCTGCGTTTTACTCCTGAGCCAGAGGAGCAGGCACTGCCTTAAGCTGTGGGAGAACCTTCCCCTTTTCTGGGGGGAAAGGTGAGCCAGGCTCTTCACCCTGGGCTTGAACCTCTGTTTTTCCTCTCTCAGATAAACACTGCGAGCAGAGAACTCTTGAGCCAAGGCAGATAGCATCAGTCTCCTCTCTGTTGCTTTCAGAGAGTGGGGTTCCACATACAAGTTCACAGTGTGAACCCAGAGTGGGAAAATCCTTCCCTTTCAGCCTGGAGGTAGCTGCCACACGCGTTTCCTACAGGTCAGCTTAGGAGAGCTCAAAAATAAAATAAATACAGAGCAGTCAGTTGCTGAACTAATGGGGTTAATCACGTCCAAAGACTATTTTGTTCTAGGTTGTTTGCACATGGGTTATCCCAGTTTATTCTGTCAATCTTACTAGGATATGAGACTGCATAATAAAATAAAATCTGGTGCTGTTCTTGAGGAGCTGCAATTAGTTTACTATTATTTCCTTGTGCTGCAATACATAAATGATACCAAATGCATTGCTGTCTACTACTGGATTTAGATGGTATTAAAAATACAGCCTTTCAGGTGCTTACATGCGGGTAAGTTACCAGATGCTTACATGGATCGGGGTATGTATTTAAAAGCAATTTTTCACTTTGTGTGACATTTTTGTTTTAAAATGTGTATCAATTACTAATTTGGATCTATTCTTGCTCATATTTTGCCTGAGACAGTGAAGTAGAATTTAATAAAATTAGTTTTAGAAGTGCTCCCACTTCAGGTGCATGCCACACTACTGAATGAGGAATGTTAGCATTTTTGTAGCTGGTTTTATTACAGCAATTAATGGATTTTTTTTTTTTGTGCACATACAGTGAGAGGAGACAAGTTGTGGAAGGGAATCCAGAAGATGTGTACAATGATGGATGTGATTTAAATATCTTTATCTGAAGCATGGCCAGACACACAACTTGAGGAGATACAGTCTAAAAATAGCCAACTCAGAATTGTTAGTGTTCTCGGTCATAATGCTGCTTTATGTTTGTTAGTCCGCAGATGCAGATATCTTGGTTGGGCCAACAGAAGCTAGAAGATTTAAATCGAAAGGACAGGACAGGAATGAACTACATGAAAGGGAGAACTGGTGTAAGGCATGCAGTGTAAGTGTTCAGAGCATCCTCATCTCCAGACCAGAACCAGTTTCGATGACAATGCTGCATTTTCTGTTACCTTTTCTGGGTTGTCGCTAGCAATTTCTGTGACATTTTAACTCTCGTTAATGAAGGCAGAGTAACAGCTTTGTAATGTTGGAATGTGTTCTGCTCTGTGGGCACAAGCAGGTGCCCAGTGAACAGGACAAACAAACAGGCATGCCAACTCCCCTAATTCTCTCCCAGCTTTCAACTGCTTTCCTTTCAGGGGTTTTCCGTGATTTGTCTGTTAAGTAATTCCCAATGAGCATTTCGGCACATAAGGACTGCTCAGGATGGGGACCGGAGCCTCTAGCAAGATCAAGTCCATACAGTGTTAGAAACTGGTCTTGGATTCACTGCTGGCTTCCCTGGGATTTACCAGTGATCCTGGCAAACAGCATAACTCCTTGTTGTAGAAGGGCAAGCAAACACAGTGAGGTTATTGCCCTTTTCTTGTTAGGGACAAATTTAATTACTGTTTTTAATGATATTACATGGGACTTCCTGCTTTAGCTTCTGCAAGTACTAGGTTTATTTTTATGTAAGATTTTTCTTCCAGTATTACAGAAAAGCACACACGCTGGCTTTGTTCTCAGCATAAGGTGTTATGTGAAGGCATTAAGGGATAGGATTTGTGCGTTCTTTTTAATGATGAAAGTCATGGTTGGGAAATTTAAATGCCTGGAAATAACTTTTTCTTTCCCTTTATTTAATCAGACGAGGTCTAATGGAAGATGACGCTGAGCCCATCTTTGAAGATGTAATGATGTCCTCACGAGGTCAGCTAGAGGATATGAACGAAGAATTTGAGGACACAATGGTCATTGATCTGGTTAGTAAATCTTATTAACAGCAAGCTTGAAATGGATGAAAGAGAATTTAAAAGGAATTTTAGAAGCAGAAACAAAAATTTCCAAAATTTTAAGCCTGAGTTCCTGTTGTCTGAACATTAAAGAGCAGAAATGATCCTCTGCAGAGATTCCAACCTGACTAGCCTCTCCCTTCTGAATGAATACTCCCCTTGTAAAATGGGAAAAAGGATCAGTTTGCATTATACACTTCACTATTTTTATGCTTTCATATTTCTCTTTTCATATCCAAACAACAAGGCATAGGTTACTTTAGGACTGGGCTATAATGTCTTGGAAAGAAAACTTAGGCAATAATTCAGTTGCTGCTGCTGAATGCTGAGATTATTGCTAGCATTCAAATGATTATCAAGTAAGTAAAACCTCTCTTTTACTGGTAATCCAAGGCAAGGAAACGAAGGAATTGATTGAGCCAGTGGAGCTCACATTACTCTTACGCTTCTAGGGAAGGACAACACAAAGGGTTTAATCCTCAGACATACTATGACCTCTTAAGTACCTTTTTTTTTTTCTAAATCCGTTTTTTGACCACGTCAGTGCTAGAGTTTCACCGTAAACTTAACTGTATTTATGCTTTTAAAAGTTTTTATGCAGTCTGGCCTACAGTCCTAATACAAGAGCACTGTGAAATAAGCAAAAGCCTCAAGCAAGTCCTTGTCTATGAGCACAGACTTAAAATTACTCTGGAATCCATCAGCTTTTACCCCATTCCTTAAATAAAATGTGAATGCACAAAGTGCTCTCCGATGTCGGGCGCTATGATTGTACCTGAGCTGTTAGGGAAAGCCATGCCAGGCTGCTTTGTAAAGGACCAGGTAACCACATTACTCCCTGTCAGCTGTAGCATTGCGCAGATCCCTCGTACCCCAGAGGTGATGTTCTAAAACGGGTAACTCCTCTTTTTAGCCACCTTCAAGAAACCGGCGAGAACGGGCTGAACTGAGGCCAGACTTCTTTGACTCCGCAGCTATCATTGAGGATGATTCAGTAAGACTTTACTAGTCTTGTTTGCTGTTTATCTGAGGTTGATTATTATTACACCTAATTAATTACTGTTTTTTAAATTACTTTTCTAGGGATTTGGAATGCCTATGTTCTGAAGTCTGGTGAAGACATTTTACAAATTTGGAACTCTATTGTTTAGAGCTAGAGGCCTATATACTGTGATAGCTTGTATGAAAACCACATTTTTGATGTGATACGGTTTGATTTTTAACCAAATGATTGAGGTCAATCCCTTTTTGTAGTGACAGAAAGAAGAGGAACTTCTTAATGACACAAAGGAATGTTGGCCAATCCAGTCACCTCAGAAGGGCTGACCTAAAAAATCATTTGTATCCCTGTTCTTGACTGTCCTAATACAGATTTTTTTTTTTTTTTTCCTGGATGAGGAGGAAGTTTTAAATTGTTAAGACAGCTGTCGAAATAAACACTGTTCTACATATGTTTTCTGAAAACAACATTGAGTGAAAACAGAACTTTTTAACTTTATTTTTCTGCTGTACAATTTAAAACAGTTTTAACATTTGCCTTTTTATGTTTTAAAAGCTAGCCATTTTTATTAAACCTATGCCTATCAGCCATTGACTAGCAATGATGCTATAAGCAGGTCATTCTGGCTACAGAGAAGTGTTTTTGAACACACTGGATTTGATTAACATTATGGTACGCTTATATCCTCTCGTAGGCATTGAGAAGAACACTCTTATAGAAGAGGTTAGAATTCTAATGACGTGCATCTCTGCCAAAAAATTTCAGATTCTGATATGATAAACCCAGATTTTATACTCTTGAGAAGATTTATTTTTATTTATAATGGGACATAAAGTAAGAGATGTCCATGAAGCCACTTTTCCAACAGATGCTGTGTAACATTCATTTTATATAGCACATGGGGACACAAAAACAGTAAATTTTCTATTGGTACTTGCTCTGTGCATTTTTAGCAACTTATACCAGCAAATAAAGTATTCTCAGTAAAACACACAAACGGTTCTCAAGTAATCACTTTGCTGTTTTTACTACCTACTTCAAGCCCTGCCAACCCAAGGTACATAAACAGCAACTTTCCTATTAAAAATAGTAATTCAAGGGTGGGGGAAAGGAATCACTTTAGCATACTAAAAGCAATTTTAACTGTACCATAAAAAAAAAAAGTCTACTTTCCATGCCGTAAATACCCTTTTGCGCTATTTTTGTAAATTAATTTTGCCAGTTAGAAGTACTGTATGTGCTGCATAGAAATTTGTGCTTAGATGGTGAAGTTCTTAAGCTTACAATGGAATACAGCTACATTTTCAGTGTTAACTGTGCATATTAAGAGTAATTCTTTGGAAAAAAAAATATGATTTTTCAAAAAAGTTAAAAACATGAAAAAAAACCAAAAAACCCAAAACATTCTCAGCTAATTCATTGTAATAAGAGATTTTTTTTCAATGTCTTCACTAATTTGGAATCTCATTATGCTTCGATTTTATGACTCTGCCTAGTAGCTGCTACTTAGTTAAAACTGGCCTGATATCAGAGGTGCTGGCCATCCACAACTTGCACTGACTCTAGTATCTCTACGAATCAGCCCCAAAATGTTAATCTTCCTTTCTGCAGTCTAATCTTAGCATTTGAGATACAAAGCAGATTGACCCACTTGGAGCACAGCAGTTTTTAGAGGTGCTTTTTTTTTTTTTTTTAGCAACTGCAAAATAATCATGGAGTTGTTTGGTTTTTTTGTGTTACAAGCTTATTGAAAAACAAAACAACATTAATGCCCAGTGCTTACTTGCTGGGAGGGAAAAAAAGAAAAATCTAATTTTAAAACCAAACCGGCTGAGGTTTGTTCCTTACAACATGTGCAGTTCTCAGACATGGTTGCCAAAAATGTTTGACTAGGTAATTCAGCCATTCCTCAGATGTCGGTTGGGTAATGTCTAAAACCTGAGAAGTAGCTGGAACTTTATAAAATAATGATGTTACCTCCCTTCCTCTTCTGTCCACCCCAAACGTAACAGGAGTGGGCAGGAATGGCTGCATTAAATTGTCATCACAATAACTCTGTGAGCATAGTAGCATAATAAATGCTGCCTGGTTTGAGTCATAGTCTCAGACGAACCTTGTGCTTCACAGTCCTCTGTGTGGAAAACTGATTCCTAATTTAACATTGTAGAATACTGTATAACAAACATTTATTATCACGGTACCTGCAATGGGTTTCCAGTTCAGTTTGCAGTCAATAGATTTTTGTATTATGAGTGTCTCCTTGATTGGTTTTGCTAGTAATTCTGTAAATTGTACATTTACAATATGAGGTTTTTTTTTTCTCCTTTTGTACAATTTAAAACTGATGCTTCACCTTTCATTTAATAAACTATTCAAAATCATGAGTATGATGAGCACCCTCTTCACTATAACTTTCTTTTAAATGCTCGTTTGGGCCATCACATCTTATCATCCCATTTATTAGTAGCCAAAGGAAATACTGAAAGGTGGTTCTCACATAGTTCAAGCTTCACAACCAGATGCCACACAGCTTCCTTACCCATTCAGCCTCGAAGCAAAGGAAAACCCTGGCTAGTCCTTTATTTTTATTTTTTTTTCCACCACGGTGGTGTATTTTTTGGGTTTTGGTTGATCTGGGGGGTTTTATTGTGAGATTGCTGTAAATCTGGTAAGTCATCACACAGCTTGGGAGAGTTGCACTGTTAAAACTTAGAATGTTTTAATTGTCACAAATGTTGAGAAAAATTTCACTCTCCTGCCCTGTATGTCTCAAGGGATCTGGACCACATGGGAAGAAGTGGAAGCGGTAAAGGCTTGGAAGGTCTAACAGTCAGCTGTGCTAAATGAAGTTTTACAGAGTCCTGAACCTAACTGTCCTCTTGTTAGTCTCATGTCTTAGAGAAAAAGGTGCTATTTTTGTCCAACCCAGGAACAATTTCATCTAACGCTGAAGGAGACTGACCGACTTATCATCTGGCCCACTTCCTAAAGAAAAACCATCCGAGTCAGAAAAAGTAACAGGATCCAGCAGGTGAGGAATGGGGATAGGATTCATGGTCTGAACTACGCTCTAGGACTATGCCTGAGACACAGCCCATTGCTGAATCTCCAACAAGTTATGCTCAACTCCTGCTGCGCTGTGGAACACAGTAAGTAACTTGTCATGGTTCTAAGTTCAAGGGCTGCTCTCTACGGAAGGGATTTTATTTTACATCTGTTGTTTCTGCAGGTGACTGGAATTCAAGAGCATCTTTATTGTGGCCAGAACAGCTTTCCAGTCTGTTTCCAAAGCCTTGTGCTGGTAGAGCAACCAACTGCTTGGAAATCAAGAGGATATAAAAGCCAAATTCTTGTGCTGGTGAAGGATAGGAGAGAGGATGAAGTTTACAGAACTAATGAGGTTTGGAGACAATTAAGAAAGATTGTGCTTTTTTCTGACAATGACAGTTGGGTTTCTCATTTAGTGTCTCCTCCTGACTCTGGACAGGCTGAAGAAACTATGTGCATATCACTTAACACAGCTTTTGCCTCTGAACTGGGGGCAGCCACCAGCCACTCTCAGCTCCTAATACCCTCTGGAAAATCCTCTTGGCCCTTACAAACTCTGATTGCATCTTTTCTCACAATTAACTATGGCAATGACCCCCAACATAAAAAAATTGCAGTTTACCTGCCATTGTTGTTGCAGCCAGCTCTGTTCCTTGGGGCAGCAGGTACAGGCATCTGCTCGGAGTGCTTCTGCTGAGGTACAACCAGGTACGTTCCTGTAGCTGGCTTAAATGTGCTTGCTGCCACGACAGACGGTGTATCTGTAACCTGAATGCACTGCCTCTAGCTATTACAAAAACCTGCGGAGCTGGGACTTGTACCTGAAATGCTCCTTCTGTACTGTGTTTTCAGATCTTTTGCCCCCACTGCTATGTATAGGCGCCAGGCTCCATGGCTGTACTCACTAGGCACCAGCTGCACCTACCTGGGAAGAGATGCTATCTGGAAACGTTGCCATCTTACCTTTCTTCCACTTCAGGCATGTGCTTGGGGAGCGAACAGAAGCAGCTGCGGTGTGCAGGTAGGGTAGTCCTCTGTCTTTTAATGTAGTGCCGTTAGTTACTGAGGTTACTTACACCAGACAGGTCATTACAGGACTTCACACGTTTGGCAGCTGTTTGCAGCAGTGCTAAACAGGATGGTAGCCATTAGTCATTAAATGTGGCTTCTAATGAGCAGAGCGAGCACAGGGCCCAGGGCTGATCATCAGTAACATCTACTCTGGTTCCTTGCAAATCTGGCAAATAATCATAGAAAAAATTAGGCTGGAAGGGGCCTCTGGAGGTCTCTATGTCAACCCCCTGCTGAAGGAGCAATGTCCCACCAGAAATGCCCTTTTTCCAATTGGGGTGCATTGTCCCTTGCCCTTCCAGAGAAGGCTGGCTCCATCGTCTGTATCCCACCTCTGCCCACAGCCTGAGGCCCGCTGCTGCTTCAGCCAGCACACAGAAGTTGCAAATCAGGACAGTCTAGCAGAGGAACAGACCAGGTTAGTCTGAGATTGGCAAAGCCTGGACTCCAGTGCACTGAAATCCAAGCCCAGGATTTTTCTCTCTGTGAGTCTGTGGTGCAGGAAGTGGAGTCTAAGCCAGGGCTTAGACTTGAACCCTGCAGAGGTCTGACGTCTCAGCAGTACGAGGTCACTGCGGCTCTGCCTGTCTGAGCCACTTCCAGGCCTACAGAATGAGAGATCCAAGGGAGCGTTTCACCTTGAGCTCTCCTGCAGCAGGCAGTGCAGGTTGTCTGGATTATTATTAACCCACCAAAAAGGGTTTATAGAGATGAACTGATAAGACCCCAAATTATAAGATACATACTATGATTTATTGATGGTCATTAGCAAAATCAAAATGAAAAGAATTATTTCCATTGCAAAGCAGACCTCCACTTAAACAGAGATTATTTGTGTTCAGAACACTGCCATGTCTTCCAGCATGGCCAAGCCCCTCCTCACACTCACAGTGGGATATTAGCATGTTTCTTCCACGGACTGGACTGTGTTTTACTAGCCAGCACATCTAGGTCATGGCAGATGCGCATGCGGGTGCTCGAAGGTTGGATGATATCATCAACAAACCCTGTAAAACAGACAGAAAAACCCCCATGAGCAACCATGAAGCGTTTCTATCTCAGCCTTCTACACCTAGGTTGTAATGTATATTAGCAAAATCAAAACATCAAAAATGTTTGAAAAGAACAGTTCACAAGTTGCAAATAACCTGAAGAAAATAATTTTAAATAGACTGAAAACAAAATATTCCAATGTCAATAGTTTTTAATTCAGAAAAAAAATTGCTTTTTCAATTCTTGCACAAGTTCACAAGCAAGTTCACGTTAAGGAGGCAGCTTTACTCATGTGAGTACTGCACCTGTTACTGCTGGTTTAGATGTACCATCCCCGTCAATCTACTACTATGAGTCTGATTTATGGGTTCAGAAGTGTTGACTAGCAGAGACATCCCCTGACTTGGCACGTGCAGGAGCCTGGTTTTTTTTTCCTGGCTCAAACAGCAGTGATAGATAAGTCTACTGCAAAACCAGAGGGAGCAATACTGTACATACTGGTTGTGGTGGAAACAGCTTGGTTAAGTCTTCCCAGCTCTGTGGCACTATTAACGGGATTTAAATGAAGTACAAAACCCAATCAATAGAGTAAGCCAGCTATGGAAACAGAAAGCTGGCTCTAGAGGCCACAGAATTACCTTCTAGAGCACAGTAAATGCTTCAAAGCTAGAAGTAAGATTCAGAAGTAAGAATGGTTGAAAAACTTACTCCAGAAGGCCCTGGGGAACATCACTGACCTGAACTAGACTCCGACCCTTTCTTATGGCCACTGGTCTCTGCATCTAGGACTGTCCAATAGATTATCAAAGCACAGGTACTTTTAAAGAAAAGTCTGAGGAGTTTGGAGATGCTTTCTACTATCTACAAAATTGAAAATACACTTTTCAGCGCAGTCCCCACATCTCACCAGTCTCTTTCCAACTGAGGATATGATTTTTGCCTAGATGTGGTTTTTCCTTCACATGCACAAGCTACGGTTAAACATCATCTTTCTGACTCAGATACAAATGTCTTGCCTAGATAAATTCGTAGCTATCCAGCTCTTCGCTAATAAGTTATTTATGCGCAACGGCAAATACAAATGGGGGGACACAATGTGTGAGACAACCATACCTCTCATGGCTGCCGGAAAGGGGTTTGCAAACTTATCCACATATTCTGCCTCGGCATCTGCCTCTTTTCCTCTGAAAATGATCTGGACAGCACCCTAGAAAGATAAAGCCTACAGGTCAGTGACAGTAATTCAGCCGGTACAGAGGAAAGCTGTCTGCTTTACCAGCCCCTTGCCCCACCCAGTACGTAAGCTGCTTCGGGGACAACGCCAGTTGTCCTCATCTTGCCAGGCCACCTCTGTGCCACTGTGAAGCCACTGATGGCTGCCGCACACCAGTGAGAGAGTCAGCCTGGGTTTACC